CAATTAACTTTCTATGCAGATTAGCAAATACCTGGAGTTATGAAAGATCCTATTTGTTCCTCAAAAACAAACAAAAAAACCACTAAATCCCTTCTACCTAAAATTTTTCAAGACTTACCTGATTACTAGACTCTGTTCCTTATGTAACTGCTTATTAGCTTGATGTATATTTCTAGATTACGAAAATCAGAAATTTAAGCAATAGTAAAAGTTTTGTACAATAGAATGTGTATTCTTTCCCTAGCTTTCCTAGTTAGCTTCCTTTGGAAATCCCCAGTGGTAGAAGTGCTGATTACAATTCCAGGCTGAGTGGTAACTGGAGTAACTTACTAGCCACAAGGCACTAGAGAACTGTTACAGATGCCCCTCTGAAGGGGAGCCAATCCTTGGCTCAAACTGAGCTTGCTCACATTGACCAGTTTTCCAGAATATTAACTTAGTCTGAATGCATGTGGGCAGATGACAGCAGGGGAGATAAAAGCCACAGCCTCCTCTCTAGTGCAACGCACAAGATGTACCTTCAAAGCACTTACATGGCATTAGCAGTGCCAGGCTTGTTCTTGTCTTCCCAGCAGTACCTGCATACCTCATTATCTTTTAGTACAGCTAAAGCACACGATAGCAATGCTTTGGAACATTCTGAGTCTTAGGTAACTTTTGGTTTAGTCCGAAAAGCTGACAGCACCTTTCGGCCCATTCTTTGGGAGTAATCAGCATGACATCACTGGCAGGGCATAGGCATCCCTTCTTCTGCAGGAGAATCAGGATCTCAGAAGATCCTGAGAACCTTCAAAGTTTTTCAGAGCTTCACAGGCATTGTCTCCTGTAATTGTGCTCGAGAGTTTGAAACACAGATTTACAAAAAAAATGCACATGGTGCATATGCTGAAGAAATTCTGTAGGTGAAGGTAACACCTTCCTGTGCAAGCCACAATGCTATGCAAATCTTTCTGAGAAGTCTAGTACAGAGGACTCTACTGGAACAATGCTCTTTGCTCAAAGACAAATGTGCTGAAAAACAAATTTTTAATGGCCTTCTGCTCATGTCCTTCTCCGTTACACAGTCTGAGTTCTCAGTGGTTATTAGAAAAAATTTTCCACAATAACCCAACAAAACCTGCTATTTCTAGCATATGGGTAAGTCCAATAGCCAGGTCAGCACTTTACTTCTTAAGAGATCCATAATTCCCAGATCTACAGATGTATCAGTATTTAAATACAATGAATAATAATGCCTGTTGAAGATCTCCTTAAGTTTTTAACTCTTAAGAAGTGTGGGAAGGAAATGTGCCAATTAAGAATGAAGATCATGAAAGTCATTGGGTAAATCTAATATTCTCAAAGGTAATACATCTTCCTTACAGAACCTTCGCAGTAATGCTACCCCACAGAATAGCTAAAATAAACTAACAACAAAATAACTGAGTTTTCTAGGTCCTCATTCTTCACTGCTGGAATATAAAACATTGCTGCATGTAAAAGCTTCCCTGCAGATACTAAGACTATTTGGGAAGCCTAGATACTGACTACAGATGACAAGTTACACTGTGAAACTATGCTTGTTTCTCAAGAACACTACAAAATACCATGGTGGCACTAACAGGTACATCCCAACAGTGAAGCATGCAAAAGGTACACCTGAACAAATGGAAAAGCAAGGAAGGCCAGCTTCTGCTTACACTTTTAATCATATCTTACAAAGAGACGCCAGCATTGAGCATTCTTACACAGGAGTATCCCTTTGCTGTTACTCACACACCTGTGTATAACCCAGGACTGTCATTCCTGGCATGCCAGCTCTGCGGAACACACTCACAGTGTAGCTCCTTTTACATCAACAGGATTACTTTACAGCAAAATACTACCCCCACTGCTTCAGAACTGAGTCCCTCCCATGTTGTCCTTCCACTACTGTCAAATACAATCCCACGTGATAAGCAACTGATACAGTTCCCAACTCTCCTTTCTATGGGATTTACGGGGAGGAACACACACAACATTCCTTGGCTATAATATTGCCTCTCTCATTAGATATTTTCCAGTCAGGGGCTCTCTGGTCATCCAATTTCCCTTCTTCAGGTACCCTTCTCTCTGCTCTCACAACTCAAAATTCTACAAAATGCCAATGAAAGAAATTTTTCCAGGTTAAGAGCTGCACATTAAGGCTTTATGACATTCCAATTTAATTAAACAGAAACTGAGTCCAAGAATTACACTCAAAGTAAATGTCATGCTCAAAATATTCTCATTTCAAAAAGCTTTATTAGGAAAAGAAAAAACAAGTGAGTATATGTATGCATGTGGTAGAGTCTGTAAGGGATAGACATTTGCAGATTATTATGCTAAGTTTCGAGAATTCAGCTGAATCAAGCTAGGGATTAGTCTTTTCTATTCCCAGGAGCTCCCTGAAGAGAACAGAAATGATTGATTTTTCCTCTGAACTGCATGATTTAAAAAAAAATTTATCTCTCAAAACCAAGCAAAGACAGTTGTTCGATCGCATCTCACCTGCTGCTGCATGCCAAGGAGCAGAAGTGGGAGGGAAAAGTCACACAGGGACTGCACAAAGGGGTAAGTGTATCAATTTTTAAAAGCTCTAAGCTCAACTTGGATCTTGTAAAAACTCATTTTTAGTATTAATAGATTTCAAAGGTGGAATATATTAAATATAATGCTACAGAATTTCAGTATGAGAACCTTTGATTTTAGGCTCACTTGAACAGAAGTAAAAAATTTTGTTGGAGGTGCAGCACAAAATAAATATTACTATGGAGATCTCATACTGAAAAATTGGCAATAAGTACCTAAAGACATGTTAGAACAAAATAAATAGAGGCAATTATTAACAAAACCTAAGTTCTATATACAAATGTATATAAAATCCAATTCTACATTTAAAATGGCAATAAAAGTACTTTGGAGATAATCCATAGATTTACTTTAGACGGAAAGAAAGAGTAATACAAAGCATTTTTGATGTCCCAGTTCAGAAGCTCCATAAGTTTGTACTCATGTTTTAGAAAAATATAGGTTATCTGAGCTAAACTATCATTGATCTTCAAATTCATGATGCATCATATGATAACATTTTCTTCAAAAGCCAGCAACTATATATATCAATAATGGGTTTCTTTTCTCATCTGACATGCCATTGTTCTCCATTTCCTTTTTTTTTTTTTTTGTTTTGTTTTCATAGAATCATGGAAAAGTTAGAGTTGAAACGGACCTTAAAGATAATCTGACTTCAACCTCCCCTGTCATGGGCAAGGATAACTTCCACTTCCCCAGGTTGCTCTCAAAGCCCCATCCAGCCTAGTCTCGAACACCTCCAGGGACAGGGAGTCCACTGTATCTCTAGGCAACTTGTTCCAGTGTCTCACCATCCTCACAGTAAAGAATTCCTTCCTAACATCTAATCTAAACCTGCCCTCTTTCACCTTAAGGCCATTCCCCCTTGTCCAATCATTACATGGCCTTGTAAACAGTCCCTCTCCAGCTCCCTTGTAGGTCTCCTTTGGATACTGCAAGGTGCCATAAAGGTCTCTCCAAACTCTTCTCTTCTTCAAGTTAACAGCCCCAAATCTCTCAGCCTGTCCTCTTAGCAGAGGTGCTTCAAACCTCTGGTCAACTTAGTGGCCCCTCCTCTGGACTCATTCCAAGAGGTCCACTTGTTTCTTGTGTTGGAAGCCCCAGAGCTGAACACAGCACTCCAGGTCAAGTCTCACAAGAGCAAAGTAGAGGGGGAGAACCATCTCCCTCGACCTGCTGGCTGTGATTCTTTGGATGCAGCCCAGGATGCCTTTGGCTTTCTAGGCTGTGAGTGCACTTTGCTGGGTCATATGGAGCTTTTTGTCCAAACAGCCCCAACTCTTTTCCCTCAGGGCTGCTCTCAATCCATTCTCCTTCCAGCCTGGACTTGTGCCTGAGACTGCCCCAACCCACATTCAGCACCTTGCACTTGGCCTTGTTGAACTTCATGAAGCTCACACAGGCCCACCTCTCAAGCCTGTCCAAATCCCTCTGGACTGCATCCTTTCCCTCCAGTGTGCCAACTGCACCCCACAGCCTTGCTGTCATTGGCAAACACGCTGGGGGTGTAAGGTCATGTTCTGAAAGCTTCCACTAGTTTTCATGTTTACTGACAAATTTCCAATGCCATTTATAGCTGGATTCTATAAGCAAAGTTTTCTACACACAAAGTTATTGGAATCACATCAAGGCATCTGGAAAATAACAGCCGGTGATACTTTTGCCACAGTAGTATTACCCTCTTCAACCAGTTTTGCAGACATCCACTAACTCCTCTGGTACTCCACAGGCTTTGCATCTCCCATCCAGTCAAACTGCCAATTCTAAATGCAAATGTCAGATGTTGCCTATTAAAAGTACTTTCATCTGTCCTACAAATATCTCTAATAGAAATCAGATATTGAAGTGATATTTAATACTGATATGTACACTGAAGCACACAAAACGGAAAGATATCTCCTGGGACGATTCATTGTACAAATATATGATTTTTCTATTTAATTTTGGCATATTTATAAGGAACATGCAACCATGGCAGAACACTTTTGATTTTAGGTCTCAAAAGCTACTGTACATAGACAAACTCACAATGCAGGTGTGGCTAGAGCTGTCAATACTGAAGATGCAAAGAAACAAAAAGCAGGTTTTCTTCAAACGTTATTCCTATATCTATACCTTAAAACTCAACTATATTCCTGATGGCATACTGCAGATTTTTCCAGTTTGCAGCAGAATCAAACCCACAGACCTAAGAAGTTGCTCATTCAGAGACCTCGGTTTGATTTGTAGAGTTTGTGACTGAAGACCTCTGGAGTATGCTTTACACAATACACCTGTGTTTCAGCATGAACTGTTTATCCTGCTACCTCTAAGGATAAGGAAAGGAAATTCAGTGTGAAAGCTTGACAACTTTCCATCTTGTTAGCAACACCTCCTTCCGTCAAGAATTACATCAGAATTTGCTTACTTACATCTAGTGAATCTTCATTGACCAGGATGAGAGACATACTCTGTGAAATGAGTCTGCAAGAGTACCCTGCAAGGGGGAAAAAAAAGACAATAAAACACAAGGACTTACTTTTTGGAGGACTACCTAAGGTTCAAGCTCAACCTTAAAATAAGCACCAATAGGTCAAATGACAATTTATTTTTTGAGCAGTTACTCCTATCAGGCAGACTGCTGGAAACATTGGTGTATAGGACACACTCCAATATGACAGATTTGAGACACAGGCTGCATTCTGATAGCATTTTCAAATACATCACTTGCAGTGTTTTAATTAAAGAAAACACTGTGTGAACTGCAAGCAGTAAATACAGCCTATAGCCCTGCATCAATTTTATTTTTTTTAAATTCTACAGGAAGGCAGGTTTGCCTTCAGCACATGACAGGAACAGATCTGAAGGCACAGTTGCATCTATGCCAGATCACTTCAAGTGCACACATGTTTTCAGTCAATGCTACTCAGTTCCCTTAGCCCACACAAAGCTCACATGAGCATTTTTTACTCCTGAGTGTTCAGTGTGGAAGGTTCTGAGCTTCATCAAGAAGTATAGATCGATGACACTCAGAGCCCCTACCAACTCCTATGGACACAAGATAATTGGACTAGATTATTCTTAGTGTGGGGCTGGGACATGAAAGAATGAGAGCACCCAGAAGGCAATTCTGTACGTTTCCTAGGACACCAAAATTCAAGACAAAATCTCTCAAGACAGAAAAAAATCTCTTATTTTTATAAAAGTTTAATCATTTGCAGAATAAACAGGTTAATTATGCTCCTATTAACAGCAAGAGATAAATGCATCAGACTGACTCCACTACATTATCCTAAAAGCTCATGCAAGTTCACTTGGGATTGGCATAGTGATGTCAGCTTCATAAAATAACAGAGAATTAATTTATTTGAAGCACCTTTTATTGCTCATCTGAATTACATGGGAAAAGGAAATACAATACAATTTCTAATTTTTTTAAGAGAAATTAATTACAGCAGTTTAATAAATTGCTATCAAATAAAATGGGGTCTTGGGAAGTGTCTTTTCTGAAATGGAGACTGGAGGGTATTGCAGTATAAGAGTAATGTCCCAGTGAAGAACCACTGCAAGGCTGATAGATTCAAAAGCTGAACACCACAGTCACTGTAAAAAGATGAAGTGCCTCTTTCCATATCTTACATCAGCAAGAGAACAACTGAGGCATGAAATCATCTGTGGGATTCTTGCTTCCTTAGAAAGGCCATACTGGGTCATCAATTGCAATGCAAATCATTTCCTCAGGCTACAGAGTTTTTATAATTGGGCTAGTTTTGTAGGTGTAATCCAGGGTTAACATGTCTGCATGCGTGACTTCTGTCAAGAAAGTAAATCCCTCTTCTTCCTTTGTGGAAGACATGCTTGTATCATAGCCAGGCACTCTCAGGCAGCAGGTCTGATTACCTGCAGAAGTTCAGTTTCTCCTCCATTTTCACAGCTGTGTAGGCTATCAATATCAAATGCAACCTTGCAAATACATGCTAATGAGCCTAAGTTTAATTTCTGCTTCAGACAACAATACAGAATGACACTGAACTAACACCTGTTGGGAAAAGGATGAAATATGTTCTAATGACGTGCAGCCTACAACATGAAAGCTTTGCAGACAGCCTCTGATTCTGCCTGTGATCAAATCTTAGGTGGTAGTACAGAACTGAGCAGCAAGCCTGCAACAGTTACAGACAAAACACTGACTTTTTTCTCAAGTCAGTTTGCCATTTTTAAAAGTTAGTTCCAGGCTAAAAAAAAAACTTCCTTATTTTTATTGAGAAAAAGAGAATATTATGAACTTAAGTACTTCCCTCCATAACAGGTTTATTCTTTCTCTAGGCTAAACCAACAGTCTTGTGCAGTAGGCTGTTACAAATTCAGCGTAACTAATTCAAAAGGATTTTCTAGTAGCATTTGATTAGAACAGCAGCTGCAATAGTGAGCTGTAATTTCTAAACCACTGCTTGCTGCTTCATTTTACCTCTTCCAAAATGAGCAAGATGCCATTCTAGAAGTCCAGCTGGAAGAAAAAAGATTCTTGTGGAAAACAGTTACTCTGCTGTGCATCTTGGAAATTATGGACACAGAAGAACTTATCCTGCAACTGAAGCTATTTTGCATCTTGCCATCACTTTAAACAGAAAGATCAAGACTGGAATAGGAGAATGTAAGTCAAGCCTAACAAGGGTTTATAGGAGATCTGAACATTATGTTAAATTTCAGAACTAAGATGATGTTAAAATCTAGCCCTACTATAAAGCAAATTAGCTGGCAACTGTAGGAGTACAAGTAGTAACTTTAGACATTTCTAGTAATACTTTAAAGCTTTATAATAGTTTTGTAATAGTTATTACTGGCAACACTAACACAGCAAGCAAAAATGCACTCTAAGATAAGTATTTTTGTCAATGCTTCTGAGTAAAATAAGATCAACTGCTGGTTCAAAGCGAGGTATAAAATGTCAACCCACACCTGTAAGTTGATATCTAGCTCTTTAGTTTAAAAGTCTGACTAAAAGTCCATGAAGCAGATGAATTAGGTACTTCTGGGACTTATTTTCCTTTAAGTGTCCTGGGAGAAAGACTGCTTGAACCAGAGTTCAAGATGATAGCCCACAGGCACATCCATACTGCAGGCATACAGAATCCAGCATCTGAGGGCAGGATGATTACCCTCTGTGTTTAGAGAGGGCACAAACGCCCTGTTCAAATTTTGCATAGGGATACAGGCAAGTGCGCTGGCATGGCTTGTCTCCTGAACTGAAATAAAGCACAGTTCACCAAGAAGTGTTCTTATGTCTGAACTGGAAAGCTAGGGGTCTGATGGATGTACTGTTAGATGGGTAAGGAATCGGCTGGATGCCTGCATCCATAGAGTGACAGTCAATGGCTCGGCACTCAAAGGAAAACCAGGGATGAGCAGCATCCCTCAGGCCAGCCCTGAGACTGGTCCTTCAGTATCTTCACCAGGGAAAGAGGGACCAACTACACCTCATCAAGCCTTGAGAAAACATGAAGCTGAACAGTGGACCTAAATAACACTGGAGAGAAGTGATGCCACCCAGAGGGACTTTGACCCACTTGAGGAATAAGTCTGTGAGAACCTAGTCGAATTCCACAGGGCCAAGTGCAAGGTCCTGCACCAGTACTGCAGCACTCACAAATATCTATCAGGACAGAATGAGGTATGAACAGACTGAAAGCAGCCCTACTGAGAAGTACCTAAGTGATGAAAAATTGAATATGAGACTCTACCTGGAGTACTCTACCGAGCCCTGGAGGCCCAGCATGAGATAGATGTGAACCTGTTAGAGTGAGTACAGAAGGAGGTCACAATCAGAGGGCTGGCACAGCTCTCCTATGAAAACAGGATGAGACTTGGGGTTGTTTAAGCAGAAGAAGAGTTGGTTCTGGAGGGACCTTTCAATACATAAAAAGGAATCACAACAAAGACTTAGACTTTTTACCAAGGCCTGTAGTGGCTGGTCAAAGGCCAGTCATTTCAAACTGGAAGATGGTAGGTTTAGACTAGACATAAGGAAGACATTTACTATGATGGGGGTAGCAAGACTGGAACAGGTTGCCCAGAGAAGTTATGGATGCTCCATCTCTGGAAGTGTTCAAGGTCAGGCTGAATGGAGCTTTAAGCAACCTGATTTATGAAAGATGTCTCTGTCAGGGAGAGAGCAGAAGGACTGTATCTTCAAAAGGTCCCTTCCAACCTCAAACCCAAACAACTGTAAGGCAGTGCTTGCAGCTATCTATGCACATCCTAGGTAACAGCATTCAGCTCAACTTCAGGGACTGATTCATGGTTCAGGGAAGGACACACTTGAGTAAACACTATATGCCCATTCCCAGAAAATAAATCTCTTCCCAGGGAAGTGACTGGCTGGAAATACAGCAGTTCTGGTGTTCTGTTAGTGTCCCAAGCACCAGGATGGTGGCAAATAGAAATCTATCATGGGTGTTTTTGTCTCACTGAAAGGCAAAGATGACCCAGAGTCTGCAGACTGTTGAAGAGAAGGATGAAGCTGCAAGTTAAGTGCTCTACAGTTCTTTGCAGGCCATGCTTAAAGATGCTTCTGAACCTGGAAGCCTCCTTTTCAAGAGGTAGAGTTAAAAAGATTGATCAGTATTAAAGCTTATCATGAACACTCTCCTCACTTGCAGAACTATTGACTAACACATGGCTGAGTGAAAGGCTTACAGCCATCCCAGGAAGGTCAACCATTACTCTCCAGAGAGGTCAAGAACATCATCCAGAGACAAAGACATGCAAATTCTGAAAACCAAAGAATCAAGAGGAAGCTGGAAGAACAAAATACTCCAGCTCCTTGACAGAGCTGCCAAGAGCTGAAATGCTCTTACACATGAGCTCAAATACACATGCATGTCCTTACAGCAAGCAAGAGTCAATAAGCATAATCTCCAAAAACAATGAGAAAGTGAAAATGCTTTTTACTCCCCCCAGACAGCATATTTATACCTGAAACATATAGTACACACGTGGATTGGGTTTTCAGTTGAAGGTTTATTACAGTTTTATTAGGTTACACACAAACTGGAAGGGTGCCAAATGTTTATTCTTTCAAGTCAACTTGAATGTGAAGCAAATTAAGTTAGAGTTTTACTACCAAACTGTACCTTAAACTAAGGGATAATTTAAAAGTTTTAAGTGAGATTGTTATTCTTCTCAAGCTGCTATAATAAAAGAAATAACAAACCAACAGATTTAGAGAAACCTAGAAGTGAGTCTCCTTCACAGTCTTCAGAATAAGCCCATTTACTGGTGTTGAAGGTAGCTGTTATCGGTTAATATATCAACTTTTTTCAGCTACTTACATCAAAATGTGTAGCTACATTTTTTTAATTAGTCAAAGGATGGTGCTTCCCTTCTCAAGTTAACTACTGCTTTTAAAGAAAGGAAAATCTGCAGATTGTGATTCAAACCAGACAACCAGCCTTTAAACAAATTGTCTCCTTAGACCATCCACTACATTTCTACTACACCTGTATCAGGTCAGCAAGTTATTTCACCTCTTGGTACCACCTTCAACATACAAAGACACATGAAATTTGATCTGGTTTTGAGAAGCACACAAAAATTCTAGTCAGTCAAGCAGACTACATTCTGAAATTTCACTGAGTCAACCAAAACAGAAAAAAAAATTAAAATAATACAAACCAGACTAAAACAAAAAAAAGGCAAATGCCCAAAATTTCCCAAAAATAATCTATGTTCATTTACAGAACATAATTGATAGAGAATCTTGAATGAGTTTAAGAAAGCAACCTATGCTGTTAAAGTTCCTTTTAACCTACACATCTAAACAGACTAATCTGCAAATCTAAGTGCAATTGTGGAACCTTAGCAACATATGTTGCCTTGTGTTAGAGGAGCTATTTCTTCAGTCTTTTTGAGCTCATACTGACCCTAATTATATGAATAATGTAACCAATTAAGCTTTTTACATTTACAACTGTACAGATAGGTCTGGGTGCATTTCAGGCTGTTCCTAGCAGAACTAAAATGCATTTTAACTGACCTTAGGTGAGATGTCAAATCACAAGAGTGAAACTCTGTCTTCCCCTCTCTGGGCAGACTTACCAGGGATAGGGAGAAAAACAATCAAAAAGCACACAAGAGCATCATGGTATTCTGTTGCCAAAGATGGGACATTTGGGAGGTGTGGCATGACATGGGGTGTGCCTACATCAGGATATGTCCCTTTACCAAGTCTTTACTACATACTAACAGATGTGCTGTAAGGGGACAGCAGGGTCAGTTGTTGAAGCTTGAATAATCCACCTACATTCACAGACATGGTTTGGAAGATGCTGTAAAACTATACACGCTTTGCATTATCGTATTTCCCACTGTATCCCAAACTGCATTCAAAGGCAGTCAGTAAGAAAAGAAAAAAAATAAAAAAGCTCTGAAACCGTTTTTGAAACATTAGCCTGGTAGAGTTCTCCTATTACCATCAGAAAGCAGTTACATATATTCATTCCATTACAACTGCATTTGACCAAGAGCAGAAGGGTCCCTTTTGCCTTAAAACAATAATATTATAAAAAAAGAATATAGCCTGACACTCATAGCGAAGACTTCACTACAAAATCTCTTCCCCAAGGCTATGCTCTGCTACCGAGGAACCATTCTATAAGCAGCAGGCCTGATTCTATTTCAAAACCCACACAGCACATCTTGGATGTGACCTGCTACCTAGCACACAAATTCAGAGTAACCAGAATGATGGATACCTATATTGAGAGCTGTTTCCTGTTTGTCACCTGTCAGAATCCATATCTTAATTTCTGCCTTTATTAGTGTGGCTATTGTTTCTGGAACACCTGCTTGCAGGCGGTCTTCAATGGCTGTAGCTCCAAGAAGCAGCAAATCCTGGGGAAAAAAAAAAAGAACCCCTCAAATTCTTTTAAGATAAACCTCTGTTTAGAACATACTCAAAAAAGGAATTAAGACAGCATGTTACATCTCACTGCTAATAGTGCACTATGACAAGCAATATATTCCACAGTACATTTCTAGTGTGGCTATTTTACTTCTGTACTTCCTCTGCATACAATTCACGTTTCAAGAGGTATGGAATGGAACAGAGTGTTTTTCATCAGAAAGATGGCAACATTTCAAGAATAATTGATTGACATTATAGTTAGTCCAAAGTTAGCCTATAGGTGACCATATATACTAGACCATTCCCTAATCACCATAGCAACATGATGAATAGTCAGTTTGTATATTTAAGCTCACAAAACAAGAATTATTTGGCATCGCATCATTTAAACTTATTTCCACCTAGAAAGTGTACATACAGACTGGATACAGTCATTCAAAGCAAAAATTATTGCAACTATTTATGGATCTAATCATTACAGTTGTATAATAGAAGTGGTATGAACATCAATCAATCCAAGTATCTCTAATCAACACACAGATGTCTGCCAGAAATACATGTCCCATACAGTGAATTTAATACTACAGAGTTAGTCATCTTCTCAGGCAATTCTACAATAATTGCTTGAGGAGATTTGGCTATATTACAGTAAAAAAAAAAAACAAAAATAAAAAACAAAAAAAAAAACAGGCAAAAAAACAGCTAAAAACCTTGTCAAAAGATACAGTCCACTCAGAATTTATCTCTAAAAGCATTTTTTAATGATTCCTTACATATGTTCAACTTAAAACAGATTGAAGTAAGTTTACGCATACTGTATCATTTCAGAAATTGCAGAGAAAAAGGCACTATATTCTGTTCTTTGCAGGAACTAAAATTATTTAACAGAAATGAAGACAAATGAACAGAAGTAATAAGGCAAGTTGCTGTTGTTCAGCCTGGGAATGATGAGGCTTCAGCATGATCTTACTGTGGCCTTTCTATATAAAAAGTGGGCTTATAAGAAAAATGAATAAAGACTGTTCACCAAGGCCAGCAGTGGTGGGACAGGAGGGGATGGTTTTAAACTGAAAGAGGGTATATTTAGTCCAGGCATAAAGAAGTGACTGTTTCATAATGAGAGTGGTGAGACACTGGAACAGGTTTGCCCACAGAAGTGGTGGATCCATCCCTAGAAGTGTTCCAGGCCAGGCTGGACAGAGATCTGAGCATCATGGTCTAGTGAAAGACCATAGTTGGGGGTGGGGGTACAACTATATGATCTTGAAGGGCCCCTTCCAACACAAACCTTATCATGATTCCATGGAGAGGGCATTCAAAACAGCTCTCACATGTATGCATCTAAGCATGCCTAAAGAACAGAAGGGAAAATCTCCATACAATGTGTAAGCTGGCATTAGTCACAGCTCTTGACAGAACTTGATTTTTGCTATGAGATTCAGCAGACAAATGTAGCAGAACCTACTTGTGCAAGTCCCTGTGCTTTAGCACTCTACAGCCTCTCAGTGAAACATCAGCTCTGCTGATGCCAGCAGCATTTGAAGGTTACAAACATAATCCAAGTGTGCAATTGCAGACAGTCTTCTTTTACCAAAAATCACTTGTTAAGAAGTCACACATGACAGCACAGGGATCAGCATGGCTGAGCTACCTGAGCAGGGGAGTTACCACTGCACCTGCTGAAGCCTTCTGAGCCTCATATGCTTATGGCTGTGGAAGGAAGTCAGTTCAAGTTTGTCTCCACACATTCACCTGTACTGTGATCCAGCAATCTCAGCACTCAGACTGAAAAAGTAGTTCGCTTGGTCTCATTTGAGCCCTTAGATGAAAAAAACCCAGCCTGTTAAAATACATTATATTTTGTGCTACAGCCAAATGCCAGTTTATCTGTAAGGCCTGCTTCTTGGCATGACCAGCAAGCAAATGTTAACAGCAAGATATACAGTGGATAGTTCCTAACTCCAATTCTACAACCCACTCATGGGTTCCCTTTTTTCTTAAACAAGATACTAAATTGTGAAAAAGGCAGAAAGTAGATGACCAAAAATGATCTAAAGCTTGAGAACACATTTTAAAGTACAGCAAAACCAATGTCGATTTTTCACCTTGGTGACAACAGAAAAGTATGAGTGCAAGAAGCAGAAAGCCGAAAGGACCTACCCCAACCCTCAATACCAAGAATGAGATAACCACACTGTTACTGACACACTATCAACACAAAAGACCATTTCAAGCATGACTTGGAAAAGGAAGACCAAATCTTCAGCTGTTACTGAAAGAGTTCTTGGAGCTTTTCTTTTACCCTCTGAAAGTTAACTCCTATCCTAGTCTTGACCTCTTTGTGGATGCCTCTTCCCTGGAAGTCATCAAGGCCAGGTTGGATGGAGCTCTAGCAGCCTGGCCTAGTGAAAGGTGTCTCTCGCCACGGGACATGGAGGATTGGATCTTTACGGTCCCTTCCAAACCAGGCCATTCTATAAATCTATGATTTACCCCAAGTAACTTCAATAAACAAAGTGCTCCAGAACCTAAGCAGTATTTTAATATTAATTAAAAAAGATATTGAAGTTCAAAACATGCTTTAAAGAAACCACTAAATGAAATTAAATACCTGGGTTAAGAGGGAAGAGCATGAATCTGTGCAGGTGAGGAGTGCAACCACCAGCACTTCCGAAAGCAGCAAGACCAACAAGGCTCAGAGAAACACTGGCCCCTAGCGCTGATATTTTAACATTTCATTCACTGTAGGTTCAGCGTTTAAAACAGGTTCTCTGGCACCTGTTTTCCCCTTCTGAAATTAAGAATTTGCATGGAGTGCAGGTTTTCATCTTTTTTTAACCCATGCTCCTACAGCTTTTGGTGACCCCTACATCATGCCTACAACAACCTTCAGTAACAGTTGACTGCTGCATGAAAAGGAATTAATCTCTTCATACCCTACAACATGGGAACTTCGTTCAACACAGTAATTTACATATATTATCTTTATCAAGTCACAACAACCTAACATAAAAACACAAAGATAAAAGAACTGCGAGAAAAGGTGTTTTAAGTAGAAACTACTTTTTTATCCGTAAATTGATCTCAAATTCACAGATTAAAACTGTTGACTGAAAAGGTTACCATCTGAGAACACCTTTTCAGTTTCCCCATCTATGAAATTAACAGTTTATTTCATTGTATGAAGTCCAAATTCCACTGGAAAATACACATATAAGGGAATCTTTATCAGATCATCAAAAAAGTATGTTTTACCTTTTCAATGATCTCATAGCACTCCTCTAGCTTCTGAGTTCTGTCTTTCAGAACCGTACTGGATTCATTGTAGACATTCAACCACTCTCTGTAAGACTTCTCTGACAGATCAGCATAAGCAATGCACAACGTCCTCAGACCTGCAAAACAGAAGACAGCCATTACCCACAGTAAAATTACATTGAGTATTATCAAATAATTCATATGCAACAAATGCTAAATTCTAACCCTCATGCTGGAACAACCAGAGCTTCTAACACACACTGTTAAACTCAGGATTCCACAAAATCTCCCTGTACATTTTTTTAAGCACTTGGACTTCCACAAATGTAAATGTAAATCTGGTTCATTTTGGCCACTAATGTTGGTGCAAATCAAGAGAGCATTGGACAAAAACTTTTTATTAAGTATAAAAGCAAGCTTGCTTTTCATGTATTTTTAAAAAGAACAGGCTACATACTGCGATTTGTGATATTACTTAGTCAAACACCCTGCACATGCTTCCTCTGAGCCTGTGTTTTCCCTCAGTGTACCGATGTAACTCACAGTAATAACGAGTGTTAATATAGTGGAGAGGGTCCATGAAGTATAAAAACCAATTTATTGGACCACTGACAAAAATTAACACAGAAGTCGTGATTTATTTTTTTTTCTATCACGAATCAAGCAGAAAAGGAGTGTGTATCATAAAACACAAAAATTCCATTACTGGGAACATGAAGTCTGCAAAACAAAAAAAATTTAAAAGCTCAATGATGTTTCAAGATTTTGAAAGAAAAACACTGGTTCATGGTTTTACTGTAACTCAGGTATCCTATGCTATAGCAGAAGAAGGAACAAAGCCCAGTGCTTCCCAGTGAACGGAGTCAGTCAAAGGCCTCACAGACCACCCCAAATCATCTTTGATGTCTCATCTACCAAGCTTCCCAGCATGTTCAGGTTGACACTCTGCTTCGTAAAGCCAGAGACACTGGCATCCGACTTCTACACCTGGTAAAAACACCTCCAACTCCAAAGTAACCGAGTTGTTCTGGGCAATACAACTCATGCCCTTTCCCTTCATCATGGAGATACAGAACACTATCTTTTCCTTCCAAATTCCACTTCTCTACTGAAATCACACAGAAGTCGGAAAAAATCCTCCTTACAGTTGAAATCAACCTACAGTTGTTAATTTGCTGATAACACACCCCATCTTGATTCATCTTCACAATCATCATCATCATCTTAGTTGACACCACCGAGCTTAGACAACGCAGGAGATGCTGCAAATAATTTCATAAACTGAATTCTCATGGCATGCTGTTTTTCTTACCTTCCGTTGCGAAGTATTCAAGATGGCACAGTGTTTGTTCCATATACTGGGAATCTTTTGAAAGCCTCTCAAAAATTACATTATCCTATTAAAACCAAATTCATTACAACAGAGTAAGTCTATATATGAAGTTGCCATTTGTGTATTTACAAGCTCAAGAGAAGCCACCTGAATGGACTTGCTAATATCAAAAACAAAACTGTATTTACAATATACTTGGGGTTTAGAGACTCTGAGTAATTAATTTGGATTGCACCCAGTGGCAGAGATACTGCATCCATTTCAAATAATAGGAACAGAAGCACACTCTGTCCTCCTCCCCTTTCCATAAAGAGGTCCTCATCACTGGGCAGTACAGAACACTTCTCCACAAATTACCAAGCCAATATATTGACTTTCAGACAACACAAATGTCTGGTCTTATTCAGCATATATTGCAGTCCCATGCAGTAGAGTTTCCTGCAATCCCTTCTAGAAAAGATTCCCGTTGATGTTAAAAAAACAAAAGGCAGGAACAGTGATCATTTTCCACCACAACATTCTCTCAGAAACAACCTTCTTCCTGCAGCAGCATTCTTTATCAGTAAATCAAAGAACCATTGAAAAAGCCCAACTAACAGCTGAAATCAACATACAGCATCATCTACATATCTAGAGTCTCTGGATTTTACTTATAACTATCAGAACAAGTTCTACAAACACATGTAATACAAAAACCCTACTCAGACATCTGCTCTTAAGCTAAATAAACAGACTTACATCTAGCATTGATTAGAGAAAGGCATACAAACCTAATTATTATGGAAGCAACAGGACAGAGGATAACTACCAGAACATGGAAGAGTTAATGCAGAATAGTCAGTTAACTTAAAGTTCACAAGTGGCAGATGCAGCACATTAGTGTATCTAGGTCTGCTCATACAGAAAACAGCAAGAAATTTTGTACGGCAAACCCTCCTGTTCTCCGTCCCTTCCAGTGCCACACTCCAAAGAACGATGTGAACTCAGGCACGGCATGAACTAGCAAGTTGCAAATCTGTGTGGTCCTATTAGGCATACAACTGTGAACTACCACACAATGGCAGCAGTCTTAATTCACTTCACCACACCAGCATGAAGCCAGCACATCTTTATCAAATCAGGGGAGGTAAATGGAAGCAATGGAGTAGTGAACACTGACCTATACGTCATGACAAATTCAAGTAAACCAGATCCTCACAGACGTCAGAAGGAGTTTTTCCCTGCTGCAAAAAGCCAGCTCCATCGTTTTCCACTGAAATTAGAACCACTCTCTGGCTGTTGACAATGCTAGTTTTGGAGCCTTTGTACTGTGCTAAGTTATTGCTCTTGTCAGTGAAGACAGAGGCACAACATGGTGCAAGTCATGATGACAAATAACAGCAGGTGCAGAGATGCAAAAAAGCCAGATCAAGAGCCAAGCACTTGAGAATAAATTTTAGTGTTATAATTTCAGACAACAGCATTTACTCCAGCTCCTGAACTCCTGCTGCACAGCTGGGTGAAGCCCTGACTTTGCTGAAGTAAGGGTACTGCTCCCATTAGTTTCAGGATTTCAGCTGGGCAGTACAAAGCATAGCAGTCTTCCAGCCTGCAAAAGGAGTCAGAGCAGGAATGACAGCTCTCTTAAATCACTTGGCCCTAAACAGAAAGCCAACAGGTATTATGTATGAGACATGAAATGTCAGCATCAGCCACAGCTGTTGAAACAATAACTGGCAGTGTTCTCCATTAGGCAGCATAATTACTTACAGCCCCTTTGCAGTAGAGACGTAGCTGTCCTGCCGGAGTTCGAACAATCACTGACATTCTCTTCCTGTTGCTATTGAAAGAAAAATATTTGCTTTCATTAGTCAAAGTGGTGAAGAGTAATTCCTGCTCTAACCAGTGAATTTTCTCAGATGTGTTTCGTGCATCTGAGATTAAACGGGATATAGCAGCAGTAACTTAAGATCCCATAACCCTTGACCACAAGGAGATATATTAAATTGCCTATTTCCAGCTTCAGCCTCATGTCTCCCATTGGCAAGCACTCCAGACTTATGCCCAAATGTGAGCAAGAATTTGAAAAAGAGCAAGATAGTATAAAATTGTCTTGAAAGAAGGGGAGTCACACTTATTCTCATTATTCTCTCTCAGTTTTTCCTTATTCCTCAATCAAAATTGCTTTGGGGACTCTAGAAATGGAATCATTAAGGCTGATTATGTCTTTATTATAGACATAAGAGATATTGAAAAAACCATCCACTGACAAGGGAAGTTATTTAACTTCCTAACTCAAAAGAAAGTAAAAACATCATCGAAAGGAATATAGACCAGTTCTTGGCTTCTATGAATTCTTTATATTGGTCTAATCAGACCTACACAGTTGGAATTAAGCAGAAGTAAGTCAGATCCCCTGAGCAAGGACAGGATCTCAAGTTTGGCACATATCTTAAAAAAAAATAAAAATGTAGAGAGTAGCATAGTGTACACCAACATTTAACAAAGGAAGGCAGGCAAGGATAATTTTTTTTAAAGAAGTTTTGATGTTTTATTTATCAATCTCTCCTCCAAAAGAGCCACTGTAAAAATCCCACAGCTACCAAGAGGCAGAGGCAAACAAATCAAATCTCATCAAGGGAACCCTAAGAACATCTGGTTTCATATAAATCTTTTCCTCAGCAAAAGGACCAACTTGGAAGCACCCTCCTTCCTCATTATGTTTTTCCCAACATGTACAGAGTGTAGAGCAACCTTCCTGCTCCTCTTGAAGTTGCTTTGAGAAATGTAGTAACTTTTCATGTGCACTAAAGTAAGCTCTTGGCATGTATCATCAGACAAAACAAATCCTCTCTGAGGCTTTCTGAAGAGAGGTTAGAAGGACAGCAGTTACCTGTGCCCAGAATTTCAGCAACATCCTAATGACACTGGGAAACTTCTGTGTGCTTTTTGAAAACTAATTACAGGAAATCCCTCAGTGGTCAGGCAGGAAGGTGCTACACAGAGGAGAACTAAGACAGCTTTTTTCTGCTGCATGCAAGCAGAAAATTCCTGCCTACAGACACCAGAGTGCTGGTCAACTTGTCACAAACCCTCAAAGAAACTTCCAGTGCCTTTTCAGATACTTCCCAGAAGTAGCTTAAATAGCTGCATTCTGACTGGAGAGAGGGAAGAACTCAAGAATAATCTTCAAAGTAAGTCAGGACACAAGAAAATCATCCCTACCTTTAGTTTTATATAGTCCTTTAGAACACAACAAGCCAACTCAAAGACAGCAGAGAACAAGAGCTCAAGGTTTTAATCCCCAGCAAGAACAGAAAATAAACAAGAGAAAAAGAGGAATGCTGACTAGCACCATCCAAACTGAAATAACTTTATCAACTGACAAAGAGAAAGCACCTTGTTATTTCCAGTCATTTAGGGGCCTGATTCATCAAAGCTTCTTGCTACCCAAACAAGGCCCATCCTAATGAGTCTGACAAATTAGGAGTGCTTGCAATGTTTATATTTTCATAGCTGGCGTGGTTCTTAAGACAAGGCACTTCCAGGTGCAGTTTCCATGTACTCAAAAAGTAATTTGCAGAAGCACTATAGAAGTGCAATCTCAAAGTATGTTCTTGAAGTAGACAAGTGACAAATCAGGATATCCATGAGTCACAGCAAGACGCTTCCAGGCCAGCAAGTTCTCAATAAATGAACAGAGCTGCAGGAGAAAGTTTTATGATCACATGCCAACAGCCACCAGTTTACAACTCATTCACAGTACATCAGAAATAAGATGAAGGGGCAGGACAAAAATTAAGGAAGTTCTGCTTCTTTACTATATAAGTTGTAATTTTTTACTCTAAATAACATTGTTTGTAAGAAGAGTTTTCTTATTACCCTGAATTTCATGTATTAGAGGAAAACTTACCTGGAAAATTCCAGCACATTAAGAATTTCAAAGGTTTTCTCTTTCCCCAGCTAAAAAAAAAAAAACAAAAACCAAAAAAAATTAAAGGGTTACTATTAATAGTTACTATTAATAATAAATAAATATTATAAATACAATCCACATTATATTCTTAGACGTGCAAACATGTGAGCTCATCAGGTGTCTGTCACAGATTCGAGAGTAATAAATGTAAATAAATGTGGCAATGGCTCCCTCCACTGGTTAAAGGATGCAGAGACTGATCTAATGAACTTAATTCAACATCCTGTACTGTGGCATCCTTCATTTACTACTGCTGCACCATTAGAAGGAGTTAATATCCTTTCTGATTAGGCATGCTCTGAAAGCTAAGTTGCATATTTAGTTCTCAACAGCCACCAACTAAGAGACATATTACAGGCTGTAGGCATTTTTCCAAAATAAGCCCTCCAGGTTTATTATTACAATAATCTTTGACTGACCTCCCTTAGTATTTCTTTCATTTGAATTCACAAAAATATTAATTATATTTTTCGTGGCCAAAAAAAAAAGATTAACTGAGGAGAAATTCCTGTTATCACCAGCAACTCTTTGCTGGGGCTGAGAAGGAACAACCCAAAGCAGGAGAAAGATTTTAAACACCTGCTATTCCAGTTGTATAATGCATAGAAGGAGCAGTAGAAGTTCCCAGAGTCATAGAACTCCAGTGGTATTTGTATCATGCAGTTAAAGAAAGTGCAGCAGTAAAATCTAATTGCAGTACAGACATGTCCAAGGCATATATCAAATCAGCAACATCCCCAAGATTAAAAAACATCTCCAAACCATTTTCTATGTGCTGCCATTGATAGAGGTAATCAGGAGAGACAGGAATCTCTGTGAGTGACAGCTTTCACTGCTGGCTATAGATTAACAATACCTCAGCTTCATATTATGAGTATACAACTAGGCCAGATAGGCCTGGCTGTTCCTGCAGAGAAGCATTTAGATGGCTCTAGATGACACTGTCCATCCTAAGCTCTTCCCCTTCAACTAAGAAGCAGTTTGAGAATTTGTAAAAGGTTTTTGACAAGTCCTACAAGAAATGTTTCAAGTGCTTAGTTTGGCAGTGTAACAAGAAATTTGAAAGGAAGTACACCTGAGAGGAAGGACAAAAACACATTAATTATTCTTAATAAGCACCCTACTAGCTGCATCTGTGTCAATCTGGAGCCACTTTAGCTTAGACTGCAACTTGAGTCTGAATGTGGCCCCATGAGTCTGAGGCTGCCTGTGTCAACGGCAATCCATTAACTATGCACCCCTGCATACACAGCTTGTCAGCAGATCTTCTGCTGAAAATCTTACTCAGGAGAAAGAAATTAAACATTTAGAACAACAGCCATTAAACATATTGGTCAGAAAACCTCCCAGACACATGAATTTCCTTCTAATATGAGTGTTCCCATCTGTGCTTCCTGGACAAGGGAAATACCTTTCAGGCACAACTGCTGTCATTTCCCACGGAAGTTTGCAACTTCCTATCACCCATGCCACATACAGGGGCAAAGGACTTGGCATCTTCAAATAGATTAAGACAACTTTTCTCAGTGTACATGAGTCCTTTGCATGTAGGATCCCAAAGGCCCTGGAGAAGGGCCCTGACAGGGACCAGAGAAGACACCTTTATGCTCGGCTTGAGCTTGGTCGCCTGTGCCATGCACATCCACCACTTACCGCATCAATGATAACAGAATGGGGAGTCCGTCCTGTGAAGACATAACCAAGTTTTTTTGCTCCTTTCACTAATGCTCCTTCATCTGCCAAAAAAAACAAATAAACAAAAAAAGTTTGAATTTAACCTGGTATGTTAAAGAGGCCTCCAAAAACCATACTTAAATATGGCAGATTGCCAAAACAGGATCCCCTTTTCTGTGTACTCCCATCCATAGGGATGTTAGAGTAGTTCTGCACACCCTTGCACAAAAACATTCAACATTTTAGTCCTACAAAGGTCATGCAATATCAACTACACAAACCTAGTACTCAATCAGCATAAAATATCCTGTAACTACTAAAGCGTTTAACTCTATTCTTGTGGAGGTGCCATACATTTCCACGTGAAAAGGGGAAATATCTCTCCTGAAAACAAGATCAAAGTTCTTATCTTTAAATTCCTACAGTATGTATTTAATCCAGTTTCTGCTGTGAAGACACTGTATTCAGGTACTATAGAAATACAGCATTGCTTTCTGGAGACTGAACTGGGCAGCATTATTAGGAGCTCAAATAACAGAGCTGCAATCAGAGCCCATAGAAAATTACAGAGCCTCCTTAGGGAGCAAGTGTCATGGAGCACAACCACCGCAGGAGTGGATTTGGTGCCTAATTCAAGTAACCCTCATGTCTCTACAGCTCCCTTATTCTCCTCATGGTTCATCACACTGACCAGAACTTCCTCACATGAGGTCTTCATCCTACTTCTCAGACAATCTATTCAGACAGAAATAAGAAATGATGCTGCTTCATCATGCAATACATCCCTACAGCGATTCTAGAAAGATCTTCACTAACAGAGATAAAGGAGAGCAACATTCCCCAATCTGGCCTCACCTAGCTCTGTCTGTGCTAACTGAAAGAAGTAAAAAATGGGTGAAGGGCAGGCCTGAATATCACCAAGATTCTGAAAGTTTTGGTTGTATTGTGTCATGCACTGGCACTTGATGGCTTCCTATCTTGCTCTAAGGAGATACTAGATGAAGAAAGACAGTCTGTAGTCATGCCAATAAATAAATTGCTCGTGCAGAAACAAATCATTACCTCCTACACACTCAGTCTTATTTTCACCCCTGCAGAAAGAGGAGATGGTCTCACAAGCACAGAAGGGATACTAAGCCCAGCCTATCTCTAAAGAAACATCATGGACTATGTGGTTAGTAGGACGTATTCAAAAACTGTGTACTGATTACAGAAGATGCCAGATCTACTGCTAGCATTGTGGGGGACATTTTGCGTTCAAAATCAATGATGTTTGAAACGCCCTAGAAGTTTATGGACCTTCCTTCCATTTACTTCTACTCCTTCAACTCATTCCCTTCCCTCCCAAAAAAGAAATCAACAACCAACCTGGAGAGGAGGCCTGGTAGATTATTGTATTTCCTTGTCTCTCAGGAACAACAGTATGACACACGGCCAGCAGCGTGAGGAACTCCTGTATATGCACAGCTGTGGGCTAGACAGGACACCAGCAGACTGAGGTTTAGCACTGCACACAGACTGAGGAACACTAAACTGAGATGATCTCTTATATACCACAGATTAAAAAAAAAAACACCCAAAGCATATTCAGTTCTCTTTACAGCAGTTGTTTTGACCTCAGAACACCAAGACAGCACAGTTCAGGGCCAGTGCTGATGAACTACAGAGCTATTGATTCTCATTCAAGTTGCAGAGAGCTGAGAAGACTGATTATTCCCTCACCCCCCAAACATAAAAGCATTAATTCTTTAGCACCCCAAGATTCATATAGGCAAAGACATCTGCCACAAGATGGTGACAATCTAGCAACAGGAGATACTACTAATGGCAGCTTCCAGCAGATTGACAGCAACCACACCAGAATTAAACTTGCTGCAACTGCACCCTTAGTGATGAACATCCAGAGCTGAGAGCAGTTGAACAGCCAGTAGAAAGCAACATCATGTGTCCTTCCAAAAGAATATAGCACCCAGTCAAGCATGAAATTAATCAATTGTCCCTACACATTCAGCATCACAAGAACATGCAACATAAACCACTGCTCCAAACTGCTTAAACAGACACCAGGTCTGCAACTCAGCAAAGCTGGCAATTAAACCACAGGCCTCTAATCAGCCAACTGTAGCAACTGCAGCCTTTAGTGATGTGAAATTAAGTCACTCATATTCTTCCCTGCCTCCGGCAAACATTTATAGTCTCATAGCAGTCAGGAAGAGCACTCAGATGCCCAGCTCACAACCTGGCCTACGAACTTCATCCACAATTCACACAGATCTTTCAGATGCTTGGCTGAAACAGCTGAAGTGAACACATGGTTCTCCTTCACCACCTCTGCTATATCCCTAACATACCCAGGTGGCAGCATCACTGTCTTGCATCACATCAGCTGTTTTCTCCGTGACTCAGACATGAACTTAGGAGTTCTACCTTTGCAGAAAGCCCTACTTGACTTTGCAAACTCTCAAAGAATTTCTGCATATAAAAATATCACCTAGGGTCCAAAGCTTTCACTGGCACAGCTTATGCACTGGCAATATGAAAGTTTAATTAGTAGGAAGTAAACTAAGCTGCTAAGAAAGCCACAAAATCATGTCAGCTGGCAAACACTGTGGCAATGCATGTAAACAAAGTAAGCATATCAAAAAGTAATATAATAAAAAGACTGAAGATCCAAACTCTATATTCTTGTTTTACTTCATGTACTTTGCCATGAATATTTTCAAAGTAACTGTTTCAAATAGGACCTTTACATTTGTATACTGAAACTTCCAAATTGTATGGTCACGTGCCACTAAAATAAGAGTTGCTGCTTTTGACATGCTGGGGTGCAGAGGCTGTCCTCAGGAAAATGAACATATATTTACTCACTACTATCAGACTAAGTCCACAGAAAATTATAGTGAAGAGGTTACTGCTGTTCCATCATTTCCAGTCAAAGTAATGAAAGTTTTATCTCCCTGTCAAAAGGCACAGCCTGACAGATTCTTATTTCAGCATCTGTTGCTGCAGACCTTTGATGTCCGTCTTACACTTTTATCACCTAACCCATTAACAAGATTTCATAGTATGTGTTCTATCAGCTGGAAACAACCTGTCTCTAGTAGTGACATGGATTTTAATCCTTCCTAAGTATGTATTTATGTTTTCAAGCCAGCAACATAATTTGCTGCTGTCTTCGTATTTTCACAGCTCACAATGTATTACAGGGCAATCTTCCAATTCTGTTGCAACAGATCACCAGAGGCCCAGCTTATCACAACAGCTCCTCCACACAGCTGTCATTTGTTTCCTTTCTGTATTATTATAGCACTGACAATATTTGTTGCATAGACATGAATCAGGGTAGAACACTCAAATTCCTGCTTTGGACCTGTGAACAGAAAACCTGTTAATGGCTTCTGTGGTAACATACCCCTTCCAATATGCTGATCTGAATCCCAGCACAGGACAGAAGCCCCACAGCTTAACTGATTCTGCTTTATGACTTATGTTCCCCTATCAAGTCTCTGACATCTCAGTAGTCAAATTCTTAGTGATGGTCTCTGTGAGATGTTTCTTGCCTGTTCATGCGCTAAGGTCAGATTTATTTCTTCCCACCCCATGTTTTAGTTCTCTGTTCATCTGTAGTTGGAACAAAGATTACATATTTTGATCTCTTATTCATCAGTCCACAGGCAGATCTCATTTTAAGTGCCTTCCTTTCTCATTTTTCTCCCTGTGTGCCAATAACTCTGGGTGAAAGCCATCTTCTTCCCTGGTTTTTTTTTCCCCAAAAATCCATGAAAAAGCTAGTGTAAAAACATCTACACAAGCAATATATGCCACTGTGTGAATTATTTTGTTTGCTGCCCCTACCAGCTGAGTACCACATACGCATTGCAATGGTTTCCTACTTCTGGAAGCAGTTTCTGGATTGTTACCTATAAAGCACTATCCTCAGTGAAAACAAAGTTTAGGGTTAGGTGCCTACCTATCTAGCAGGCACAGCACTCTCCATTATCAAGCAGACCACTGGTCAGAAAACAAGTTTTCATCCCTTCATTGTTCCTTTATTTAGAGGAACAAAACACTGAGACAAGCCTCAGTCTTTTGGGGAGCAAACTGCACCGTGCAGAGCTTCCTATCTGGAATCTTCACTCTGCAGACAAACTATTTTTCTCAACTGTTTAAGCGTCTGATACAATTACAAGGAATTTGAATGTGAAGTTAAAGATACCTTCCATCTTTCCTTTAATTGTAGCAGTATCAGATCAGTGCCTCCATTCATGGTATTTCCAGGTGAGCAGGACTGACAGTTTTTTGAGCAAATGGCCTAGAAATGGCCAGTGGGATATTAAAGCGCAGTCTAACAACCTGATCTTACTACCTTGCATGTAAGTGGCACATTCTGCCAAGAAAAACTGAAAATGCTTAAGTACTTAATTACCAAGGAGAATTACAACTCACCATCTTAAAAAGATATAAACTTCCTACCATTTAGTTCACTAAAGTATCTGGAGAGCAGTGTGAAGATCCAGCCATGTTGGGCAACTCCAGAACAGTGAAGCTGGCAGGACTGGAAGAGACCAAGATACTTCAGGCACAGACTGAGAGAAGACATTAACCAGCTTTTGAATATCAAGAGAGTTAAATGCAAGTTTACCTTGTCCAAAACCAATGAGACATGACCTATAATTAAAGATACTGCCTTGTACTTGAACAAAAGTACTGAAGTCCCACGCACAATAAGAACAAAAGCAGATGAGAGAAAAATATATCTCACCAAGCTCTAACAACTTAATTGTGAGCTATAAAATGATGTGTTTGGACAGTTTTCCAGCAATCTGAACTAGAGACTCCCATAGGCTTTCATCACCTGAACATGTTTTTTTCCCCCTACTGTATTTCAAATCCCAGTTTTTCATCCCAGTTAGCCATGATACTTTTTTCTGGTTCTGTTTTACTATAGAATTAACAATCAGCTGATGATAGCTGTCATTTCAACAAAGCTTGATGGGATAATAACCTCAGTTCCCACACACTACACAAGAATAAGCAGACGTGTTGGTGAGGTCTAAACAAACACTTCCAGTGTGGTAAAGGCTCAATGTGAGCACAACAGTTTGTTCTGCCCGGCCAGCTGCTAAAGCACTCATCATGTGTACTCACTGAACCAATTCAGGCATCTGCAGCTATACCATGTTTGCTGCTTCTTAAACAAGAGATAATTTGGGGGCCACAGAAGAAAGTTCACATGCAAATCAAAATTCGCAGATGAAGTTCAGAGAGAATCCTGGAAGGATTCTTAGACAGGAGTCTAAGATGAGAACCAAGTCTGTTAATTCCTTCACTCCTTGACCTCCTTCCCTGCTCTCCTATCATCAGTGTAAAACATAACCCCACATTCAATCAGGCTGGCATCTCTGTGCTGAGTTAATTCACAGCACATATGCAACTAGCAAGCACCAAGATAAAAACCATCTACCATATTCACCAAACATTCCTTCTAGTCTTAGAAAAAACAGATCTTTCCTTATTAGACTTAGAATTTATGCCATGTTCTCTATAGAAACAAGACAGCTTCGTACACTTGGTACAGCTGCACAGCTTATCCAACAGAAGGTGACACAAAGAAAAAGCACAGGCAGACAAAGCTAGATACTTTCTTCCACATTAAAATACCGGAGCAGCCAAGAGAAACCTCCACAGGTTTACAAGACAAGTTATTTTCCCCTGGAACAATTCCTACAGGACAATAATTCTTTAACTGCTGTTCAAAAGTGGGTTTGGCTATCAGTCAGCCCTTACACACCAATGGCCCAGAAGAGCTATGAAATTTAGAGGTGATGCAGGATGCTAAAAATCTTCCTAGCAGATGGAAGACAGTCTCATGAGTACAAGTACATAATTTTTTATTTTCAACCTGGAAAGAAAATTACTTGGCACTGAGACAGTTCTAAACTAACACTTGTGACTGAACTGAAAAAAAAAATAAATAAAAAATTAAAATCTTCAAGGCCAGAGCAATGAAACACTTAGTGAGAGTTTGTAAGAGATCACACTTACAGACTCAGCTGCAAAAGGGCAAATGTTTAGAGGAAATCAGTTGCCCGACTACAGTACCATCTAACTTCACTAGGTTGCTTATACTAGAACACTTCAGTTTTTCACCACAGTTCACTAAATTGACAGACATCTGAAAATGGCATCCACAGCTATCCATCAGCTGTAAAAATTAAGATAATATAGATTTTAATAATATAGATTTTTAGATAGAAAGAAGCTGTTTATGCATCTCAGCGGCTGACCTAATGCAAAGCTAGAAAGACCCCTTCCCTCTACCACTACCCTGGAATCCAGCCCTCCTCTCACCCATATCCTGACAAATGGACCTGAACATGCTCAGCAAACTGTCACAAGCAGTCCTTGCATTCCCAAGCCCTGTGCTAAATCACCACTTGCCAAAGGGTGGCACCCACTGCTCCAGTACAGACAGGCTCTGAAAAGTTATCTTCAGCCTACAGAAGGTATTTCTCATTAGCCAGTGGTTTCCCCACTGATTGTCTGAGGGCTGAGCTCACACAGTATGCTCAGCCCAACAGTCAGCTGTACAATGACATCAGTATTTGTCTGCTTAAGTGAACAGCAAAAAAGGAAACTGGATACAAAAAGGTTCAGTGTAGAAGACTTCGGAGCTGTCTAGACTAAATAACACTTAAGGAAGCTACCAAAATCCCTCATTCACCTGCTATGACAGTATATAATTCTTCTATTCCCCCCAAGGCAGAAACTACCCAGGGAAGATCAAATAATTAGGTAGCCCCAAAATAAGGGGCCATCTCAAGACTAGGTGAGAAATTCCATCTCACAGCTCATTTGAGATACATCCCTTCTACTGAGTCTATTAAAATATATCAAAGCATCTTTCTCGATGCATACCTAACACAGCAGCAGCCAGAAAGAGCTCAAAGGTATTTTATCTGCAGTCTACCCCTAAACCAGAATGAATACCTGGAGCCAGCAACTGCCATAAGCCATAACTGTAGCCATAAATGAACAAACAGGACACAAAGGAACAGGACAATGCACAAATCTTGGCTGCAAGTCATGTCCAGTGGGAAATCCTTCCAGTGTACACGATTACAAAAGCCAGATAGGAAACCAGGGCACTGTCCTGAGAGGGTCACCTTGCTGGAGGTTAGAGCACAGGAGCCACCTTTAGGCTCCATCACCCTGCAGAACACACAGTGCCACACCAAGTAATCATAATTCCCTTATGGCACCCGCACCATGCTGCAGTTCTTAAGTACTGCACAGCAGAACGGAAAGCAAAGCTTTCCTCCACACAAACTGTATATTGCAACTATATTTTAGACGCTCATACTACACTTAACCAGCCCAGTTACAGAAGCCACAATGTCTAAGGAGAGCAATCAGCTGATTTGAGTTTGCACTTGCCAATGCTCAGACCCCATATTGTGAGACAGCCTGCAGAGAACAAGGGTCATGCTTTTTGGCAAGTGAATTGATTGTCTGGTGTCCGGTCAGACACTTCACAGCCACATGATTTCCAAATAAACAATGAACTGACACTGTAAAGACTAGGTCCCTTAAGGACTCAACAGCTAGGCTAAGACTACTAATCATTAAGGCTCATGCCAAACTTGAATTTGCAATTAAATCCCATCTCTTACATCCTTTACATAACTAGAATTCCAAACACGTGCAATACTTAAGGCTCATTCCAGAATCACCTTGTAATCCTACAGATTACAGTTAAAAATGGTATAGATGATTCAACACTCCAAGTAGTTTTTCTTTGAAAGAATTTTAATTTCTATCATAACTTGTTACAAAGCACTGTCTCCCATACACAACAGAATATATGAAGCTGCCTTATAGGTAGCTAGAATCCATATCAATGCCATTGCTTCTTTAATTCAATTGTAAGACAAGTGGGCAGAAAGGCGTTGGAGGGAGCTATTTTGATTCCAATTTATCCCCTCCGTGCCTGCATGACACACTCACAGAGCAGACTTAATCACACAAATAGATTTGTTCAGCATTCAATTCCAGACAAGCCTAGAATAGGGCATTTAAGAGGCGTGATATTCAAAGAGCAGACTTACATGATCATTTTCAATGTTTTGCAGCAGTCTTGGGTCATCAAATTCACATGATTCACTGGTGGAAGGAGGTAGCTGGCTGCAGAGCAAAACAGGCATATTCAAACAAGTGGCAACATTGCCAATCTTAGTACTTCATCTATTTTCTTGGGAAGCAAATTTAAAAATCCAAGTAAGACTTCAGTGTCCTTGAAAGCGTTGTGAAAAGATCATATGAGTAATGCAGCAAGTGCTGAAAATGAACACCAGCAAGAAAACCAAAATGGTTATGGTTGACAGTGTATTTCAGACGATTCAAGTGTCAATGCAGCTCCTGGGACAGATGTAGCAACAGCAGTTTTTAAGCATATTTAAGATAAATGGATTTCAGGGCAGCTTGCTCATAAAATAGATGGAAGTTCAATATCCCTAAGTTCCCTCCCTAGACAGCATTCTGCTTCAAGCTGACCCCTGGGGGATTTTAAGTCTGAGTACTCCAAGTAAGTACCTAGGAAAAAACCTTTCACAGAACTGAATAGAAAACAAAGGTACAATGAAAGAAAACACAGCAATGAAAGAAACAGCAATATATTGGAAGAAAGGAGGAATCCACAGAAATTCCATCTCAGCAGAAGAAACGTATCGCTTTATCACCTTCCTAAAACATGATCATCAAAATGAGCTGGACCAGTGGAGAAGCCCAGCTTAGCTCATTACTAAGTGCTTTTCTAACGGCATTCAGTGTTTACCTGTTTCTTGGTTGGGAATTCACTTCTTCCCTATATTTGCCATTCAAATCCATGTCAGCCCTCCCTGGCTCTTCCCCTCTTTCCCAATAATCTCAACATGCTTCACTGATACCTGTTTAACACCTCTGGGTCTTCACTCGTTTCTGTGGAATGGGACAGACCCATCATCTCTACTCATTAAAGTTCCCAATAAAAAGGAGCAGGAATTTCTGGGCATGATAGGCCTACATATCAAGCTCTCTCCCAGTTTAATTATTAAAACATAGCATTTTAATAAAGAAGTCCCTTTTCATGCCTGATTTTAGTGATTGCAAAGAGCAACAATCAGTCTCTAGCTAGGGGTAAGGTTCCTGCAAAGTAGGTTAATTTTAGCTTTTAACTTGACTGTCTGCAATTATAAATAAGCACTGCATTAGCATCCCAGCCACCCCAGCCCTATTCCTCACCCCCTTCATATTTGAAATCTCTAGGCAGAAGAGTAGATCCATCACCACCCACCAGCTGTGCATTAGGCTCCCACTGGAAGACCATTTTTCTCAAACACATTCCTCCCTTGGGCTTCTTCCAGTCCCAAATTGGAAAGCAGTCTTTATATAGACTGTACTCTATATAAACTCTATATATACTCCGCTATGCAGAACACAAACATCTTGGAATGTATTTACCTGAAGTCTTCTGATGAACGTTCTCTTTCCAACTCAGGAAAGTGACTGAGGAGTAGAAAAAGGAAAAAAGAACATTTATTCCACTTTAGTAACCAAAAAAAAAATAGGTAGAAGGCGAAGATCAATGAGTCATCCCACAAAAACATATGCTGGAACCATGGGTTCAGCTGTTCATACATTTGAATCGAATTTTCTGCCTTTTGAGATATCTAATTTAGCTAACATGAAATTCAAAGGTTAACTTGCACTGAGATCTTAAGACTACCCATTTAACATGAAGCAAATACAAAGACTTAGATGACTCAAATGGATCCTTTTGACAGAACAGAATAAAACCAGTAAATAGGTATCCCTCTTGTGCAAGGAGTATTAAGCTTTATAACTACAACTACTCTGTTCTTAGAAAATGCTCATTCTTCTCAAGTCACAGAAATATAACTGATAATTGCTACCCTTGGGCTGCAACTTCTTCCCTCTTGAGAGGCCAGAGCTTATTTAGAACTTCTGGTTTTGTTTAAATAATAATCAGGTAAGTTAGGATGCAAGTTTCTTTACTTCATGTGAAGTACTTCCGAGGTTTGACTTTTATAATTTGTGCTGCAGGACAGGAAAATTAAAGCTATTAATTAAGACCACAAAATATGCTAGCATATAAATTGAAGAACAGAATGTTCTAATCCTTTTCCAGTATAAAATTTTGTACCAGTAGTAAGTATGCATTAAGCTGCAGAGGTTTTTAAAAAGTCATACCTACCCATATGTCACTCCAGCAATACTGCATTTCTTAAAGTTCATGATATTGCATGTTAGAGTACCTGTTTTATCAGAAAACAGGTATTTTACCTGGAAGGGAAAAAACAAGTCTGATTTTCAACTTGCATAGTAATAAAACTCAAAGTAGAAAATAGGAAGATTCTCATAGACATCGCTCAAATGTCACAATATTGGCCAATGCAGGCTTATTACAGCTTGATTTGTCTACCAAATCCACAGAAAAATAATCAGGCAAATTATTTAATTGCATTAATTCTTTATCTCTAAATGTGGAAGGGCTCAAACAGTAGGTATCTATTGCCAAGGCTCTAGTGTGGTCACTAGAGATATACTTGGTTGTACTATTTGGACATTTACCAAATCTTTCAACTGCACTAATCTCAAATAGTGAGGCTGGAAATGAAGACTCTTAGGATTGTTGAAGGATCACTGGAATTTTACACACTGAAAACATTTTTTGCTTCCAAAATCATCAGTAATGTTAGGGGATTTTTTTTTCCCCCATCTATAGACACAGAATATGCTAGATTAAGTCCAACTGGTATTCTGCAGGCAAACAAAAGCTGTTTCTTCTGATGTCCAGTCATGAGCAGTCCTGAAGTACACAACACGCAGCCACAGTCAGCACTGCCCAAAGTAGCAATCCCTTTATGGAAACAGTGACTTCATGGTAGAACTTGGAGGCAGCCCCATCAAAGCAACATGACCTCTTGGAGCATAAGCAGATTCAAAATTCCCACCTTCAAAGGTGGTCACAAAAGACCAAAACTAATAGCCAGTTAATACCACAGTTGTACCTCTGTACCAGGTAAGACTTTCGTACAGCAACATGTAGGAAGGGATGGTGATAACATGAAAGAGTTAGACAACTTGAAGACCAAAATAATTTGACTAGAGTTAGAAGCAGTTTTTCCTCTATTATTGCCATTCTGTTGAAGACAGTGCACTACAGTACTTGTTAAGGTAATCCTTTAGCTATGCACTACACTGCTACTGAAAACAGCATTGGAAAGGGAGCCTTTGCAAGCCAGAACTCAAAGTGGGCACCCCAAATTCTGAGGAATTTTAAGTCATTAATAATTTCACCATGAAACAAAAATATCAAGGGCACCTGTAAACATGTAATTCAATTAAAGAATTAAAAAAAAAATCAGTCGAGTTACACAGTCACTAGTAAGCCACTCCTGAAAATAACATATGGACCACCAACATACATTATGTTACATATCCTTTACTTCAGGTAAAAATAGCACCATAATTTGGAGGTTGATAACTTCACATCAAAGTGATTTAAACAAAAATCAAATTTCAGCATTCATAAGAAAAATGCCAATCATATTAAGCATAATACCCCCCTCCTGAGCAGGGCATTATTATGTATTTTAAATACATAAATGCATGTATACATTTATCGTCTCCATTACTAAACTCATGCCAGTTATGAAGTTTATGTAGTTCAGTTACAGACGTATAACCTTGATGGTCAAGGAAAAAAGCTACCATTTCTCAATAGTACTACAAAATTCCAAAAGCAAACTCATATTTTCCAGTAAGCTTGTTTTGGGAAGCCCTTCCAATTTGAAGAAATGTTATTTGCAGAATAAGCAAACCTACAGCAACTAGAATTTAATATACAGTTACCTTTATCTGAAAGGAAAATGAAAATGCCTGAAGGAGCACAATATCTAAATTAGGAATACAACTATAATTTTTTTTTTATTTGTATCTTCTCTGAATTAGTCAGAAACATCAAAAACTAATAATAGTCTAGGCTGTTGGCCTGCTCTTCAGCCAAGTTTAGCCCTGTATATTCTGTTCTGTATAGACAACCAAAATCACAGAGCATCTCTCCAATACCTTTGAGAATAAAGTTGAGAGTCACCATATGAAATGGTTTCAATTCCCAAACATAAAACTGCCCATATGATACTACATTTAATCCTGTGATATCTCATTATTTCCTTGTAAGACTCAGACTAGAGAAAATAAAAACATCCCATTAACCTGAGCCACAGAGCAACAAAATAAAGCTGATTTATACATCTTGTCCAAATCTTGTACATCTTGCTCTTGTACCTTCACTCTTGAGAGAATATATCACACTCATGACACTTAAGAAAATGCTATCTTACCTGCCCAAGTTCCTCATTAAGGTTTGAGGTTCTGGCCATTGCAGGTGTATCTGTTTCAGGGTAATACATATCAGTGTCCTAAAATGAGAGCAAAATTAAGACTTACATTATGAAAATTAAACATTAAAGTCTCTGTTCTTCTTTTAGTCAGCTCCAACTTGGCTTGACTGTCTTAATGCTAGCACCAGGCATTCTGAATGCTTGAGACAAACATCATCCCAGGATGAATATGTGTGCCTCTTTTCCAAAGTATACCTCCATCCTACATGGGCATGAGAAAAGACAGATTCAACTACAGGTCGTTAATAAACTAAAGGTGTAACAGAAAAAAACCCAAACTTAGTGGAGCAGAAGGAAGTTCATGCATCAGCCATGCTAAACATAGGTGTTCAGTTACAACAATCAGTTGCTCCAGCTACATCTATGACAGAATTTTAGTGTCTCCATGAAATAAACTTCTTCTGTTACTACAAAGAAACAGCTGCACAAACCAAAGCAACTTCTGATATGCATCTCTACTACATTACAAGCAGCTCAGGGAACAGACATATTAAACTTCACTTACACGTGTTTTATAGGAACCTACTACATTACTCTAAATCCAGAGATTAATGTATACCAACAAAAGGTATTCCTCTTGGTTTTGTCCAGCTTAATAGCCATCACTACAGAACTTGAAAGACATTTTGAAGTCAAAGGTTCCCTGAACAGAGGAATCACTGTTTGGTTGTGTGAGGCAGCATCAGCTTATTTCCTTACAAAACCATTATGGTCCATTTCAGAGGTGACCTTAAGGCCAACCTCAGTATGTTAAAAAAAAACCAAAAAACAAAACCACCCCCCACCCAAAAAAAATCAAAAACAAACCCCACACCTTCAAACAAGTCTAGTCTTTCCCTCTGCTGTGTCTGAGAGAAGCTATAAGATACCAAAGAGTTTTCAAAAGATAATTAGTGAACGTGTGAGTCAGCAGAGAGACCTCCTTCAACCAAGAGCTGACACTTCCTTCTCATCCTAAAAGCCTTAAATACAAGTCATCATTTGCACAGAGGACTTTCCTGTGACTAGATCTTTTCATTTCCTGTGAAACACAGAACTGGTATAGAATAAATGCTGAGTTTCTCCCTTCCTTTCCCAGAAGTTGCATCAGAAAAGTAACTAGAAAATCTTGCTAAGATGTTAAGTGGGTTTTTATTTTAAATGTCAACATCCAGAACTGAGATACATTCATTCTTGCTACTTACCCAATTTATAAAAAGAGCCTGAGTAAACTTGACAACTTCCAATGTCACCAGAAGGCTGATTGGAATAAGGTTGTTGTACAAGATTATAAACGTCAGCAGATTGTATCCAAAGTTGACAGACAGCATTTCTGTGGATCAAAAGACACATAACATTAGCAGACATATCTGAGTGGTACAGAGGCAATCATCTTTATGCAGTTCACCTAATCAGATTTAGCAAAGCTAAAATAATCAGCTAGTGTGTTGATGCCTAGTGTAAGGGCCATTTTAATATTGATTTCAACAGAAGATAGAAAAAACACCCACAAAACCAATGCATTTTATACCAGGTGAAGAAGGGCAAGGTTGGTGAGGCTATATTTAAAGAACAGAACACTTTCTGAATAATTTTTGTCAGACAGATGGTGAGAAGCACAATATTCCCCACTATAACCCAATTTAAACATTTATCTAGTGTGTCAACTGCCCAATTAAGAGCCCCCAATGTCACTAGTAATATAATCATCTCCCAGGAAGCGCCTACTTGCCTCAGGGGAGCTAGGAAACAAAAAAATAAACACCAAAATTAGTTCTAAAATCTGACATCATTGTCAGAATTGAGAATTTACTCTTACTAAAGAAATTGATGAGAACAAGCTGACTGCTGAACAGTTGCCTAGTATATGAATTGAGGCACCCTGCTTAAGCAAAGAAGCTGTTATCAATGGTGACAACACTGGGCAACTTGCCCAAATAAGTCTGCCATTACAACTGGTCCTGAAGGGAATGGGAAGCATTTATAGACAACCAGCAGCAATGTCCAAGGCTCAGCAGAGACACAGGATGAAGGCTCCCATTCAAGGTGCTGCCCACAGCTTCTCTTTACAATCAAAGTCTCCACATCTGTATGCTCTCCACTTCCCTAGAAACTTAGAGAGGCTCTTCATTCAGCACACAGAACACCCAACACAACGAGGTCAGAGTCCACAACTAAGGGTTTTCAGCATCAGAAGTTAATTAGAAGTCAGGGGAGCAAACTAGGAGGTGAGAGAATCCAGAGAAAATTGCTGAATCCTAATAAAGATCAGAGTTTGGACAAAGGCACCTGGAAGTGTGAGTACACCCTAATTCCATATCTTTGATAAGTTGACAGAAAGCAGGAGTATGCACGATATTGGAAGATCTTCCAATACAATTTTTACACAGGTGAGACATTTAACCAAAATTTAACATCTACCTGCCTAACCTGAAAAAGTGTCTTTCCTGTGTGCAGCAGCTACGGAAGGTATAGAAATTGTGCATAAAATTTACAAAAAGGCATCTATACAGACTGTAATGTCATCCTAGTCTATTGCAAGTTGCACCTGTTTTATATTGCAAGTTCAAGAGTTCATTCCATTCATCTTTTCCAGTATTACTTCCGTCATTGGAAGGCACAAATTTAAACTTACTCATGAAAAACAAGGGGGGGAGCAGGCAAGAAATTCTGAAAGTTGCTGACACTGCTACAAGAAGACATTGCAACTACCAAAGCCCAGAGTCAAATATGGGGCATTTCCATGCTCTTCCTATGTGATTCTTTTTCATTACTACCACAACTACAATTCTTAAACTGCAGAAGATACACTTGCCATCTGTTTTGCATCATCAGCAGACAAGCCATTTGCAGTTTGTGATAGCTGCTTTAAGATCTGCATCTCAAAATGCTTTTAGCACCACATTTTATAGCTAATGCAACCTCCTCAAAAATCTACTGGGGAGCATTGCATTGTTCATCTTCAATAATGAACAAAATTGAGGACTAAGAATGAAATCAAATAAAACCCTTCAAATAACCATGCTAAGAGATCAGTTTTCTCACAACAAAGTAACAGAAGCCAAGGACAGAAACTTTACCCAATAAATAAGAATTGTGACATTTAACATTTCAATTTTCTCTAGAAGAGCCGATCAGCATTTCTAACTGAAAAAAATAAAGATAAATCCTTTGCATCTGTACATAAGCATAAAGCTGAAGTCAGCATCAGATTAATACTCCCCCACCCTGCAAATACAGTCAGACACACATAAGGCTGCAGTACATGACCTCTTCTGAGAAAAAAAAACCATGTATGATATCTCCACAGAGATGAAAGAAGTGAATACCAGATATCCAAGAGTAACTCTTGCCCTTCTCTTCTGTTTCCACCCTGCTCCTTGGGTGCTAGTCCAGTCATATTTATCTAAACTTTAGAGGCCTCACTGGGAAGTTCACTTATGTCAGACTATTCTCAAAAAAAAGAAAATATTAGGTCATCAAAAACTAGCAAGATGTGGGGTTTTTGGGGTTTTTATTTATTTTATGCATTAATTCAGTGAAGGTAAGAGCCTGCCTGGCCCTACAGTCTGATACATTGCTGGCTCAGTGCCTGCATACTCACTGTTGGAGCCAAGGTACCAGACGACTTCGCCGTGTGTTCTGTTCCATAATAAGGCACCTACAGAACTCACAAGGGCCATTACCAGGAGAATACAGAACAAAACCAGGATCTGCATGTTGGTCACCTTCTCCACATTTGATCTCTTCAGAGGTGCTTTGGTTGAATTCTGAACAGCAGCAGGGAAAAAAAGAAGAGAAAGAACCTAGCAATAGTTTTTATAAGAGGAAAATGCAGAAGCAAACCCGGTCTTTACTTTCAGAGCCCATTAGAGCACCTGCTGTCCATCCCACTGATGGTCAGCAGCAGTGGTCAACATATAAATGCTGCTGGTCTCTCCAGGCACTCTCTGACATTAAGGCAATACAGGACTGTTGTCTTAATCTAATTATCTCCATGATTGTTACTATTTCCTTAGCTGTTAAGCCTCAGTTTTAAATGTCATCCAGCTACCAGATAAATTAAGAGGAAAGTTAGTTCTCCTTACATATTGAACTGCCTTCACTTCAGTGTGTTTGCACATGTGCACATGCAAACTGGAGTACAACAGACAGACCCCTGTATTCCTCAAGGCCTCCAGGCCTTAAACAACTATGAGTCAAACCATTTCAAAAAATCAAGTCGATGACAAGAACACAGAAAAGATGACCAACTTCCATCAAAACATACTCTTAATCCCCTTAAAACCTTTACCTGCATGAGTTTGGTGTCATGTCCTGTATACACAACAATACCCAAGACCCACTGAGTGTTTCTCAGTTGTGCACCTCTCAGCAAGATCTGGTCTGGACCAACAGGAACTGGGCTGCAAAGGAAGAAGTTCATGGATCTTTCAGTTCTTGGTAACACTTCAAGGAAGGTAGTTTTATTCCCAGCCTTACTCCCCAGATAATAATAAAAACAACCCCAAACCATAAGAGAAGAATGTAATAGCAATCTAATGAGCTTAGATTGTCCACACAACTGAAGAAAGCACTGAAACCTCTGTAAGTCTAATTCCTGCTAAAGCAAAGTAGGGCAAAGCTGCTACAGTTATCCAAAACTTGAGAACTTACATGGCAGCCATAAATAAGCTTATTCTGCACTTGACCTTGGCTTCTCTCACATCAAGGACAGAGAAGCATTGAACTTGCAGAGAGACCATCCATTTCAAGCACACTATGTCACATGCACCATTAAACAAGCATTTGAGAAACCCTGTATTAAACACACAACTTCCAAGTGGGATGCAAATGATCATCTGCTACTCTAGCACTGCACTGCCCAAGGAATATATGTTTGGTGAAGGGAAATGGTACAGCCAAATAAAGCATGTATGTTCCTCCCAACCTCTCATAACCCATGGTTTTGAGTACTAAAAACTACATACTTTTCTTTGAAGAGTTGTAGACATCAAAGTCACACTGACAAAGCCTCCAGGTTCTGGGATCACTTTTCTCTACAAATCTGACTTTGGTGCAGCCTTTGGCTCTTGTTGAAAGGTAAAGATTTGCATTTCCTCTGTGTGTCTTGTGAAACAAGACCACCCTAAAAACCCCAACCATTTCCTTGTGTTCTTCTCTTTACATGTACCTTTTAATAAAATACCACCATTAATGACAAAAATCAATACTCCCATGACAAGCAGAAGGCTTCATAAGAAGAAAGAACTGTGTTATCTTATATTGGCAGATGCTGCGATTAATAAATATTGATTACTACCTCTTCCCCAGCAAAAACATGCCAAAAACATGCATGTGCTCAGAGTTACAGACTAAAAGAAAAGAGGAAACATTTTTCCTAACCAAATGAGTTCATGGCTTTGTTGTCAATACCTTTGACCATCTAAGCGCAAGTTTCCAGTGAAGTCATAGAGATGGCGGTTGGGTCCTTCACATTCTATCCTTCCAGACACCTTCATCAACTCTTCCCTGGACTGGAGACTAGCAGTTTGAGACAAACCCTGCACAGAACAATTCAAAGGAGATTCTTGTCAAAAACTCTTATTAGAAGGCAACCTAGGAAAATGGTGCTTCCTTTTAACATCTGCGAACCAAAATGTAATTAAATCTGTGGACTTTTGTTAGTCAGGGACCCGTTTTGCTTTGGTGGGTTTTTATTTTTGTTGTTGCTCTCTTGGTGTCAGTTTTTGTTATGCTTTGGGGCTTTCTTTTTTAATTTGATATTCATTAACTCTTTCCTGCAAGGAAGTCTCATTATGGACACATATGAACCTACCAACACGACTGAAACTCTCTACAGAGATATTTACCTACATGATCTCTCTTTAACCAAGACAAAACACACAGTTGGATATGTGCAGGAGGAAGTAGAGAAAAGCAGTATGAACAGGCCTGGCTTTTTTCTCAAAGTGCAGCTGTACTGATGTGTTGTGGCTGCTAAATATGGTCATTCTGAAGTATAATGTCTCTTGGGCCACTGCAGCCAATATGCACTGATGCTGCTCAAGGTTAGTGATCAGCCTGCCATGCAACTGCAACATAAAGTGTTGGTACTCTAAATCTGAGCACATGCACAGCACCCCACTGCCCTTCTATTAAAAGAGAAATCCATTTTGTGTTTCTTTTGCAAGAATTTGACTGCAGCACTGCAAGCCAGAGCAAGGCCATATTTTTGTATTTTAAGCATGTCCTGAAGCAAATAAAATCTTACAAGAGCTCAAGATCTGACTTACTAGGCTGATCTGGAACAGTAAATCACATTTCTACAAATGTAGTAAAGGAGGAGCAAATGTAGTTTTTTGAAAACAAATTATCTGTTTCAAAATCCTAATCTAAATACTTTTTTTTTAATGAAAGAAGCCAAAGATTCTTAACTATTTCTAAACACTATAATCAACAGTACTACTCTCACAAAACTAGAAAGATCCAAATAAATTATTCTGCTTTCCACAAAGAGATAACAAATTAACTTATACACAGAAAGATTCTTTTCAGCTTCTGCCTCTGCATAATGATCATAAAATAGTACTTGTGACAGAAGAAACTGCAACTCTCATCACAAGCATAGCTGATTTTGTTTTTATGTACAGCATTTAAATTCCACTAACTAGATTTCAGCAGAATACATCCAAGGTCTGTTTGATTTGTCTCTGTGGGCTTAAAATACTTGCTTCAAGTTAGTTCCTTACACTTGCACATGATGCATTACTGCTTGGGTTTGTATCTATTGAAAAGGCAAATTACAGCCACTTGGAGAAAGATGCTTTTTAAAAGAACAACAAAAAAAAGGCACTTGTACTGCTGCCATGCAAGCTAGATGCTGCTTCATAACTATAATATTAAATACCTAAAAGAAAAAAGAAAAAATATTAAATTTAGTTTGTTTTACCTGTCGTATTTTAAGATTCGTCTCCCCATCAAGATTAGCTGTTTCAATATAGCACATGGCTTGTGGTTCACTGCAAGGAGCATAAGATTTTCAATATTAAAACTTGGTAGTTTTTTGTACACTTTTTGCACTAATATAGCTCACAACAGACTTCTTCAATGCACTGCAGAAGACAGAAAACCATACAGGTGGTATGCAACCATGAAAGCTGAGAGTACATATTTAACAGAGGTGTCTTTGGGTATGGTCATACAACAAACTACAGAAAAAGACAAGTCTAAATCAAAGATAAGTAAGAATTTACCAAGCGATAAACTGATAAAATTAGATGCCTGAAGTGGATTATTTTCAATTGCAATCCATTGAATTGCTTCCAATTGCAGGAGTTATGGATGAAATAGCAAGTATTGAACAGCATAAAAAAGGAATATGTTTGGATGAAGATGGTAATGCTCTCTGCTATTGAATTCTTTCTGTGAACTGAACACACTAAATCACATCTGCAAGGTCACCTTAAAGTTGAGGGCCTATGGGAAGTACATCCAAAGTCACTGCTAAACAGCTTTTTTTTTCAGCCACGAGAAGAAGGTTTGTTAGGATTGAGGGCTGTAACCTGCAGCTTCCAGATATGTTTCTGCCCTTACCAATAGGGACAAAAAATCTTCCTCCTAGAACTGAATTTTCTGTTAGTCAAGCTCTTATCTACATCTAACAGAGGAGCTCTACACAGGTAGCACCTGTGATAAGGAAAGATACTTTTTTACCAGATCTCTTCCTGACATATCACTCAAGATTCAAAACCTCTGTATGGCACCACCAAAAGTATTTTTTCTTACAACTGTCTTCTCAGGCTGCTAAGGAATATCAGTTTCCCATCTGGATTGAAGCAAGTGCTTCTTCAACATGACACTTCTCATACTCTTGATAAATGGCTAGTTTTTTCCCAAGTAACCAATTGCTCTAACAGCAAATGTATTCAATCAGCAGAACAGTCAGTAATAAAGGCTCCTTAGGACAACAGTAATTAAGAAATGGACAGGTACATTTATAACACAGTAAGAAGCTAGATTATTCTCTCCAATTAATACTGCTTTGAAAAGAAAAAAAGGTTGAGTCTATTCTTTGTCTCCTCCTACACATGCAATTTGAATCTGAACCCAAGAAAGACTGATTAGAGTCCAGCTTGATTCCAGTTTTACTTCTGTCAAACACCTTATCTACTACAACTGAAGTGGTTAGCTCAGGAGGGAGACCTTTTTCCATACAATTCCTCTAATTTCCACAGAAATTGTATGAACTGCGGAAATGAGAAATGTCGACGTGTTTCCATGCAAAGTTGTGTTTGAATTAAAATATTTTTCCTTCGCATTAATTCATTCTTTACGTAAAATTTGGTATCACCTTTTTGCTGTACGGGAAAAGAGAGTCAAGTTAAAACAACTGTCAATTTTACCTCTGACAACCACCTCAGACACAGAAAATCAACACATACAAGCAAAAGAACCCACCCACCCCCCCCCCCTTCAGAACATGCAGAGCTTTCTGGTGAACTGAGGACACTTAGTATTGACATTTAAAGGAATCATGGGAATAATAACATTTATAAAGCAGAACTGCCACAGAAATTGCTATTTATTTCAAGCAAAGCTTCTCCCAAATCAACATGCTTTGGGTTAAATTCTCTAATTATTATGTGGTTATCAATGACAGCAGATTAGTAGAATAATGTAGAACAAAAAGCTGGCCCACACAGTTAAGAAATAAGTCAGGAGTTTTTAGTATAATACATTAGAGAAGTTCTTAAGTAAAATATCCTTCAGTGCTGAAACAGAAAATTATTGATGTCCAAGTTCAGCCTAACTGAATATTAAGTTGACAAACACTTATTTAGGGTTTGGGGCTTGTTTTAAAAAACACAGCACTGTACACCATGGAACAAAGGTACCTCTTTCCTTCATCATGTGCTAATTCAAAAAGACTGAGCTTCTGCATATAGCTTAGAAAAAAATGAAACCTCCCAGAAACAGCACAGACAAGAAGGATGAAGCAGAAAACGCAGGAGCTTGAGAAACAAGTTCTCTAAAAAGCTGAGTCATGTAAGAACTGCAACCTAGAGACCAGAGCAATCTGTAGTCAGTGTTGAAAAGCACACACCCAGCAGGGAATTACGGAGGTGTCGTAAGGTTTGGCTATTAGAAGCATGTTTAAGAACAGGAGCTGCGCTGTTGTCTCTTGTTTAAATCTCATCTGTCTAAGCAAACTGTGGTCTTGATTCAGCCTCAATTTGTTCTACATGATCTAGAACCTAGACCAGCAGTCAAGTACCTCTCAAAAGCTTTTAGGAACTATGAGACCTCAACAAATGAGAGGGCTGGGCAACCACCAACCATATGAAATTTAACAAAGACAAGTGCTGGATTCTCCACCTGGGATGAGGCAAGCCTGGATGTGTGTACAAACTGGAGAATGGGATGAGGGAGAGCAGTCCCACAAAAAAGGACCTGGGGGTCCTGGTCGATGGCAAGTTCAACGTGAGTCAGCAGTTTCCTGGCAGCCAGGAGGGACAGGTGTGTCCTGAGGGGCATCAGGATGTTGTCCCATATTTGAAACTAAACCAAGCAGGATTCAACAGGTAACTGTTGCTACCATGCTAGAGGTGGGCCATACATGTGCTATATCCAAGAGAAGTAGTGAACAAAAGAAGTTCAAAAGCTCTTTTGTTGTTTGATGCCAACAAAGCTAGCCTTTTGGATTAACTAACTGAAAGAGAAATCTTCCTGGGGGAGCACAGGAAATTTGCTGAATACTCAGGGGAATTAATTGGAAGAAAACTTAAGCTTCCTTATTTAAGTGGAGGGATTCTTGGAAGGCCATAGAACCACTGACTGCACAAAGCTCATGTTAAGGACCTTCAGTCTTCCAACAAACTCATCAATACAGAGAATTATGTACCTGCAATCCATAAAGTGAAGTCTGAAAACTCCTCGTTTTAGAAGAGCCTATCTACAGTGATACATAAATCAATGCCTAGTAAAGCCATGTTTTGTCATCGTTGAAATTTGATTTTAGATGTGGAATAGAATTAGTGCTATCTGATGTCTGGTTTTATTAATAGCAAATACAGAGATTCAAGTCCTCTGCACCTCAGTTCATCAGACACATCACCTCCACACCCATTCAGGATACCTGGTAGATATTATGATCATGTCTGCTGGAAGATGCTGCCCATTGGTGACCTTCACAATATCGCCTACAGCTACCTGTGGTGGTCAGGAGTACAGTAGCATGGAAGAGAAAAACAAACAGTTCGCTTGTCTGGAATGTTAGTTTGTTATTTTCTTTCACCCAGTCAGAAGAACAGCATCATGCACAGAACAGCTAGAGACAGTGTTTCTGAAAGTCAGTACTTTTCACTGCAAGTTTGGAAATATCAAAGCCTTCCTTTTTCTGAATGCAAAGTAAACAATTGTACAGAGAAAAAAGATAGATGTACTCAATTAGAAATTGTGAACTTCTGTGGCTTATATTTAATAAAAATTACTTTTTTCTATAATTCTGCCATTATCCAATTTCAGGGGTTTTCTTTAGTCTTTTTTCCCTAGTAAAAAACTTTTCTTTGAACTTTTCCTTCATTAAGTAGCAAGAGTTTTCATCTATTCCTTATCTACATTATTTACCTACCCAATCATCATTATAATTTTCCCTTAATTCTCCTTAGGTGCACTGCTTGTACTAGTCACTAGCAAGTAGTATCATTTCTATGGACTCATAATATAATCCTGTCCTTCCCTGACTGAGATATGCAGAATTCTGGATTCTGGAATACTTTGTCTCCTCCTACACAGGCCTAAGATTTTCCAGCACCTTGAGTTAGTCACACATGCATGGGACTTTCATTCTAAAAAGAGTCAAGTTGCACTCTCGAAACAGTAAACCAGGTTTGCCCGATAAGCTTGAGTCTGCTTAAATGCCAATGCATCACTGAGAGTCTGAAATGGGCTTAAAATACTTTTAAGATATTAATTTATAAAAATGGAAACAGATGGTACGTTTGAACAAGCAGATTCATTAGTTTTACTCAGATACCACTAAAAATAAATTCCCTACCACTTTCAGCACAAAAAAAAAAACAAAAAACCAAAAAAAGGTCAGAAGTCTGCCTTAAAGTGATCAAGGTGGGTAATAGAGAACTGTTACTCCTCCTTAACAATAAATGCAAGCCTGGACAACATGCAGTTACAGACACAGGTCAATTCAATAAGTGCCTAAGGGTATAAAAAACCCAGATTCCAGACTCAACCTTAATCTTTCAATTCACTGTCCTTTCTACAAAAATAGGACTTGGAACAGCATAAACAGGAACCAATGTTAGCCATCAGAATCCCTGGCAATATTCAGCTTCTACTACAGCCTAACACTTCCGCAGGACTGCTTTTAGGTGTCTTGAGACTGATCTCATTCCTCAGAGGTTTTAAAAGGGTGTACTTCTTCCTCAATTACTAGATAAGAGAGCTAATTTTATCCTTTAAAAGGCATTAAGAGCCACAACTAGATCGATACATCCTAAGGCATTTCAGCAACTTCCAGGTCTTAGAAATAAAGCACACCAGACCCTGGCCAAGGGCTTCACAGAACATAGGTCCCAAGTGCCTCAGGCAGCAGCAGGGCTTGTGTTTCTTACTTGAGCAAGCAGCTTACTAATTAGTCTCAAAGCCCAGGGACTTTTTAGCACAGGCAGCAAAGTAAGCCTCTGTTAGACTTGCAGGGGACATACAGCATTGCAGTGAAAATTACTCTTCTAGGTAGACTAAAAACAAAATACTGTTTACAGTTTACCTATTAACTGCACGAGCAAAAACACAACAGTTCATTAGCATTTAACTGTAACACAGTACCAGGATCTAAAAATGGGTACTCAGGTGCCTTGCTCAGGGCAATTTTGACTACTGGAACAGAAAGGATCCCTCCCACCACCCTACCCTAAAGTGACAGAGAATTCTCATGTAGTATACATTAATTTTAAGCCTCCTACTTAATTCTGGAAAGAGTAATTCTTGAACACTTCCTTTCCCTCCCTCCCATCCTCAGGTTTTATTTACCTCTTTCCACATAATGTTCTGCCACATGCCATTTCTTAGAACTGAAAAGAAAGCTTAAAGTTAGATTACAGAATAGACATAATTCAGACAAATTTCAAAACTCTATCAGCAGTAGCAAACACAATAGAAACCAACACAAAAATCACAATTTTATTTTTCAGAAGCTGGAACTTCTTTTGTTCACAGCTATGGACATGTAGATCCAAGAAAGAGGAAAAATCTGCCCTTCATATTTATAGAATTTTTATCACCTGCCAGACAACAGTTGGTGGCCTGATTTCTTCATGGCAATCGTCATACTAACATGCAGATGGGCAGCATTGTTTCTTGTTTGGGAAATGACCTTGCTATAAACAAAAGGCACTACTGCCCACTGCCAATCAGTATCAGGAAACACCTTTACTCTGTGTATGACTTACCACAGAATTTTCACTTACTTCTTTTTCCTTGCATTTTATTCATAATATTTTGACTCTGGCACATCCAACTTCACTACCTTTACCCATGGCCCATATAAATCTGAGTCTTAATTGCCAAGCAGGCTCAAACCAAAAAGCAACAATCAGCTTTGGCAGAAGGAGAATTCTTACTGCTATAGTTCACATTGAATCGAGAAAAAGAAAACAAGGTACTAAAACAGACCTTGGTTTCTGTAGGGCTCCAGTTCTACACTGCCATCTTAACACACTCATGAGTCATTTACCCTGCATCATGCCTTTCCACACAAATACCTCCTCTAGGCGATTCTACTTATACTTAATACTACTCCAGCCAAAACCAGTAAGGTCAAATATGTCAATTACAGCTCAGTAACCCAAGTCCAGTCCAGGTCTGAGCACAGCAAGTTCACCTTCATTGAAAGCAGCTGCAGCCAGTTTTCAAAGGTGTTCAAAAAGTGCAGCGTGCAACAGATCTAAGTTGAAGAGGTCAGTCCTCTACTTTAAATACGAACCATCTTCTCCCCAGCGCTATGCATTTCATATATTTGAAAATAATACCATAGTCAGAAGAAAATTCTGCTGAATACAGCCTTGACCATCCTACCCAGGACAGGCCACTCCACAAACAGAAATGCAATTCTTGTCAGAACAGATCAAGCAGAAAAAACCCAACTCTTGATTCCTCTTCTTGGGCCACACACACTGAAGCACTGAATCTTGATATTTAAAGTTGTAGTGAATGGACTGCAGTGACCTAAACTATTTAACAAAAAATGGGCGGGCAGCAACAGAAGTACTGGCAGTGATGTGTCTAAAAACAGCTGAGCTTTCACCCAAAAAGTACAGCAGTTTAGGGGAAGAACAGTTTTGGTACACCCCTTCTGCCCCTCATATACACTGCTCTTGAATTGAGCTCTGCTTAGTTCAGAACTCAGGAGAAGGCCTGAATTCCAGAATCTCACAGGAAAAGCCAAATACCTGCAGACTTGACTCAAACCTCCAGAGAGGAGTTGCAAAACTCAGCATCTCCTGTGCCACGGTTTAGACAGCTCCCTATACCACTGGAAGGTTTTGGAGACATTTCAGTAAACTTGTCATTGGCATAATTATATGCTCACACACAAAGGTACTTTGCAGCTTCAAGTGCTACAGACTTGGTCTAGCAGGCAATTTACTTCAGAAAACAATTTCACTTCCAATGCTCACTGAAATTAAATTAGAGAGTAAAATTAAACAGCCAAGCAAATTACTGAGGCTATTTTCTTACTGTTCTATTACTGAACTATTTCCTTTCAAATTCATAATCCCACAGTCTAAAGTGAAAACCTCCATTAGATATAAAACAGTTCAGAAAACTTGGGGTTGCAATTTCACACCTCCTACTCTGCTTAACCCAGTTTTATAGGAGTACTCCAAAGGACAGAAAAGGACACATATTCTCTAGAATATTTATAGTAGGCTAAAATTGATGAATTATTCGTTGTCAAAAGGTATTTGGTTAAAGTAACAAAGGACAAGTACCTAAAAAGACTGCTTCAATTCAAAAAGAGAGTTTCAATATAAACCTTCTATCTAGGGCTTTCCAAGACCAAAACCCAGTTATAGATCTAGGACTTAATACTGCCAACTCACATCCAGCCATGCAGGGCCATTTGAAGTGAGGCTCCTGAAGGACAGGCATCTCCCATCAGTCATGTTCCAGAGTTTGCTAGTCCTATGCTTGTCTAACATTTGAGCTCATTCCATGCAATATTAAATGCTCATTACTTATTCTACTATTTGGCAACAGGAAGATCAATATATCAAAATAGTTATTACTGAGCCCTCTATATCTGTGCAATACACTGCTCAGGGGAATACACCTGGAATTATATGGAGTCTGGTCCCTAGATTTAATGCCATCACCACAGACATCATGTGAAGCCATCCAAAACATAAAACACTGGCTCAGAGCCTAAACACACTCCAGCTTCTAGTGCAAATGTTCAGTACTCACCTGGGGCAGAACTTCGATTTTAGTTTGCCCCAAAGAGAATTTAATTCCTACATGCCAAAGCCATTCTGCAAAGCAAACTGATGTTTTCTATGGAAATTTTAATACAGGAAGGGCACTTTGAAGATACACTACTGCTCTAAAAAACTGAACAAGATAAATACAAAGGCTACATGACTGCTGTGCAGTAAGCAGCCAGCCATTGCAGGCAGTGGAGTTCAGGACACAGCCAAGCAGACAGCAGGCATCTGCTTCTCAGTGAGCTCAAATGCTCTCCACACTGAATGCATTGATTAGACACCACTCAGCTATAAGATCAACCTAAAGGCACACAGAGAACCTAAATTTATTTCATCTTAATCCCACTCTGAACCTAAAGTTATCTTTTCATTCTGGTAATATGTGTCTCAAGAATAAGCTTCTTTAGCCTCTCCCTCTTAAGAAGTAGGAGGACACAGTTTTAAGTATCAGACTGAAAATTTATTTAGAGTATTCAAAGGTAAAAAATAAAATCTGAACTCAATTTTTCAAGTGCTAAGTTCCACTTCGCTCCATTAGAACACCTTGTGTTCTTTAAGGTTGTCTCTCCACAATTACTGTGACAAATGTCCCTTGAAGTGTTTGCTGGCACACGTTCTCTACCTATAAATGAATTGTAACTGCCTCTGCGACCTCTGAAAGGGCCATCTTTCACATTACCTATAAACAAGACCTGTTGTGCTACAGCCACTTAATTGCCAATTGCTTGTGACTAATACAGTGTTCTTGCACTCAAAACATCTTCCCAGACTCTCGTAGAGACATAGGAGAACTGATAAAGCAATGCCTTTTGATGTGTATTAATATACAAACTTAATGATCGACCCAAACTTTCAAGCACCAAACCCAGTGAAAAAAAACAGGCATAATGTTTGCAGGACTACCTGAAGCATGGAGCTAGCAGGTTGCTCACTCCCCCATGCTCCTTTAAGTGCTCCTCTAGAATTTTGACAAGTCAGGTATTTGTCCTTGGGAGGAAGGGGCTCTGCTAGGAGCTCATGTCCCTGTGTTCCCATTTCACCTGCACATTTGTACAGAGGAGCAGAAGTGGAGCTGTCCAACAGGGGAACATGGAGCTGCCTTGACTATGGCACAGGACAATCACAGAGTGGCCATTGACAAGCTCCTCTCATTTTCTGCACAGGTTCTCAGTTGAGGAAGGTGAAGAAAATGACAGTGGTGTCTTCAGGCATACAATGACAAGTACTGTCCATACCTTAGGGATACACATAGGCATTCAGTGGATATCAGTGTTAAATTCTCTTTCAGTGACACTTCAGGAAAGCAAAGCTAAAAGATCCCCAGACTCATTATATTTAAAGGGCAGCGGCATTTACAAAAATTACTTTAAATTCTTACAGCAGAATTCTTTAAATTCTGACAGCAGCTTTTATCGTTTCAGGGAGCTGTTGGCTTTTTCAGTTCTGGATGTTCTGGTGTTGGGTTTGGTGTTAGAATAGTCACAAAGGAGTTTGGTAGGGAAAAAATTGCTTGTTTTTTCTTGGAGGAGCTGAGAACCATGTAACTTTGAAATTACATGAACTTATAAATTCTAATAATACTCCCAATGCCTCACCCTTAAGTGTCAGACCATCAAACATCCATCTGAAACCTTTAGTGTCAGACCATCAAACATCAGTCTGAAGCCTTTAGCAAAGTAAAACCCTAATTTACTGTTAAGTACCTAGTGCACAAGATATGCAATCCTCACCATCATGACAGTTAACGCAATAGAATTGTTCAAAAGTAAGCATGTACTATTTGTATTTTAAATACTTACAGACTGTTTAGTCTTACCTACTGTTTTCTTTTTATTCACTGCACTGTCTGCCTTATGCCTTTTCTGTAAGGAAACAAAACATTTCATTACACCTCATTACACTTCATCACAAATTCCAGAACCATTAGAGCTAAAAATACGACAAACTGCAAGATGATACATTGGGTCCTTCTTGCCTTTATGGGTTTTTTTGTTTTTTTTAAAAGTCACAGATCATCACAATGCAAATGGTTTGTGAAAAAGTATAAAGAGGATAATTATAAACTTCAAAGCAAAAGTCTCCATTTTAGAAGTCAGGCTAAAACCTTTATCAGAGTTTAAAAAAAGTCTCCAAAACTGGGTTTTTTTGAAGAAAAACAAAAGGAACAATAAAGAATATGATATTTAGATGGCAGATGTACTATAAATTCCACATGCTGTTGTTTAGACTGATATCCAAATTACTTCACCCATCAGTACTTTGCAAAGCAGAAAGACCTCATTCTGATGTTAAAGTATACAAGAAGGTTAGTGCAGATTTTCCCCAAAACAGTCTTTCACCATCCTTAAGTTGCTTGCCTCCCCCCTAACCCCCATTTTCAAGACTATCTAAAAAGGTCACATATTTGTCAGGATTCTACAATGTCTTCCTAATAAAAGCATTAATAAGCAAGTTTGAAGAGGGAGAAACAAATGTCCAGATTTCTGTTTTCTTGTTCACCAACTATAATGAAAATATTTATTTCAGTGCATTACAGAAACTCTAGTCAAGCGCTTTGAAAGTCAAAACGATATTTTGCTGCTGTTGAGCAATCACTCAAGGGACTTTAGAGATGCATGGCTTTATGGTATTTTATTGCTTTTTTTTGAGACATTTGGTCTTTAGCACAGCCTTCCCCACAATCATACTCACATAGTCTTCTATGATTTCTTTGATGCCAGCAACTGTTAAAATAAATAGCAATGGCACCAAGGTGGTATATCTTCCTGTTGGAGAGACATCTGGAATTTGCTGTGAACAGGGAGAAAAGAGACCCATTTTATATCTGCATTTAAAATTGATTTCTAGTACATTTGGAATTTTATGCAAAGCTCTCAGAAGAGAGAACGCAACATTCTCTGATTTACTGTGTGATTTGTGCCTCACAGACACCCAAATTCAGTGGGCACAGTCTAGGTAGGTTTGAACAAGCAGTAACAAAGTTAGAAGATACTGTTGTTGCACATGCCTTTTATTCTATGTCTTCTCTTTACAAGAAAATTATACAAATTATATAATTCACATGGAAGCAGAGGTAATCTGGACTAATTAAGCAGAGGTTTCACAAAAAAGTCACACATGCTTTTCTCACAATGTTCAACAGCTCCCTGTTTTATGACTACTTATTTTTACTTATACGAATAAAAGAGGCTCGAATTTACAAACAACATTGAAAGAAGCCTCTAAATTGTCTTCCAATTTCAATTAGCAACTACATACCCCATTAATATTACTATTAAAGTAAGTTTAAGAATTGCTTTGCAGTAAAGCATAACAACAAATAACTTTTACTGCATTGCCATTTTATAAACAAGGCAAAGCAATAAAACAATACCTGCAGTAAGGCAATGAAGAGGAAGAATGCATTTGCAGCTTTTCTTATCTGCTCATACAGGAATCGAGGTAGAAACGTCACCACACTGTACTTGGCTGTGCTGCAGGGTAGAAGATTTTCATCTTAGTACTTGATGAGAATATCAGGTGGGGGGATCATGACCAAAAAGTCTAAAAGCCTGTGTTAGAGAGCAGTTCAAAGATAACAAAGTAAAGACGTATTTAGAATATGGAGGAAGTAATTGCTTTGGTAATGATAAGGAGCTGTACCAAATAAAAGAGGTATCACACAGACCCAGCAGGCTGTCAGGCCCACTTCTATCACTGGTACCTTCGTTACTGGATGAACTATCAGACAATTTACCATCCATCCAAACTTCAGCATTGTGAACAGACAAGCTTTCATTTCAGTTCCAAGCACGTGATCAGGGGCTTACCTCTCATCAAACATGGAATTTAAATGTTGGGGGAGGCAGAGTTGAATGAGAGAAATTAGAAATTTTGCAACACATTTTTAAAACGCCTCATTTCCTACTTCAGAACAACTTGTGCTCAGTTACAAAAAATACACACTTTTTCAAATTAATGTTTTTTGGCTTTTTTCCTATTTTATCTATATATATAAATATTGTAACTAACATATACATAACAGAATTATAACTACTATTTCTTCTGCCTTAACACAAAAACACTGCATTAACCAGCCTTAATCACCTATGTAATTTCTTGTCATCCTCACATCAAATCCATAATGGGCATGAGCACAACTTCAGAAAAAAGTGTCAAAGTTGACATGATCATTTAACCATTAGCATAGAACCTTCACCTACTGGAACCACTGGTCATCAGCATGAGCTGGAGTTCTAACAACTGAGCACCTGCAGCTCAGTATGCCTTGCAAAGGCCCAACAAGCAATTACAGGAATTTTGAGGCATTGTTTTGATTAGGTGCTGTTTCATTTCACGTTTATTTTTTGTTTGTGCTTTGCTCTGGTTTGGGTTGGTTTCTTTTCTGAAGAAGTCTTATATTGCCAAGGAACAGAGAACATAATGATAATTGGCTTCCAAGAAAAAAAGAGAAAAATTGTTTCCCAATTCCTGCTTTACTGATGTTTCCTAGCAGTGCCAAGACCACCTCTCCATTAAATCTAGTTCTCTCTCTCCCAGCAAAAAGCCTTCCAGATCAACTGAAATGCACAGCATTGCTGTTCAGATATCATAAAGGACTAGGATAACCAAATGCTTTAGCTACAAGATCTGCCTTTCACAACAGGCTGCTGCTAAGCATGAAACTCTTACTACCTTGATCCACAAGCAGCTGAGTTCCGTGGGGTTCTCCTACCTCTGCATGGACAAGAGAGGCAAGAGAAATGCACCAGAAAACTGCATTTTCCAGCTTATCGCTTTAACCACCTCCTTTTCCTTCTTATCTGCACCATCCCCAACTCCAAGCCATCTAACCTGTGTCTGAAAATCAAACAGTAAGTAGATGTAACAAGGCACAGTTTATTATAAAAGGCTCCATTTTGAACACTAAAGAAGGATAAACTAAAGGGGCAAGTTAAAAAAAAAAGACCAATTAAAAACCAATGAAGATGCATCTTATCTTGGGAACTTGCCTCATTTCCTCTTCAAGCAACTACAAATCCCTTTTTATTGCTACTACTGCTCACCAGAATCAAGTATTTATATAATCAACATAATATTTTACGAAATTCCAAGTGGCTGGACTTCATCATGGCTCATATCCACTAAGCCAAATGAGTGAAATCATACATTCAGGTTTAAAGCAAGTCCAGTTCTTATATAAATGAAGTTACTTCCTTCAAGTGCTGTTAATTCCTTCCAGCTCTAAGTATTTTTTTGTTTTAAGCCACATTTGCTTGGTCTCATGCATAATAACCATCCTTTAACACAGAACACAATTAAACACATCTCAGAATTACCTTGTGACTTAAAAATATGGGTTAATCAAGTTCACAGTTTAGACCCAGAAGCAAACTCTCCAAGCAGTACTAATTAGACATCAAGCAATAGCAGATCTTGTATCAGAATAGTATTCTTCTAGGTATCACATTGTTATGATTATAAGAACACAAGAACTTGACTGCAACCAAGCTGAAACATTTACTAACACCATTCTACCACCTATCAACTTCACAGCTAGCTGGCTCAAACATGATTCTTACTCTAACAATTATGTTAATGCCAGCACAATAAGGCTCTTTTGAAAGAGGCTTGTACATACTAAGTCACCCCGTGTGTTCTGTTGCTTAAGTAACTTAACAGATGCCCACAGAAAATGGGTACAGCTCTAATTAGAGGCAGGCACAGTCAGCTGTTACCATACAGGCCAGGAACACCAACCACAAGTATGAATAAAAAGCAGATACATGTTATTATTCAAAAAGCAAACTTCTTACGAAAACCTAACTAGCAGTCTAAGCTGGGCAGGAGCATTCAATTGATTTGGCTCTGAAGAACAGTTCTTAAAATGATAAATACAATACTTATTTAAAAACAATACTAAAAAACTCTTGTGCTCCCTCCCAACAGATAGATGTGTTACAACTTCAGGATAATCAAAGCTCAGGAAAGTTAAAATCTACAGATGAACAGGTAGAAACTTTAGTCAGCTCACTCGTAGCACAGTTTTGGTCACTAAAAATAAATAACTGTCAGGTTACCTCTCTGACCATCCCAAATCAGAGTCACTCCAAGAATATGAGGTTTGCAGCTCACAGAACAGGTTGAGGCAGGTAGAGGAAGGAAGCAGAAGGGGGAAAACAAACAACAAACTGGTTTCTCTTAAAGCAACAGCTGTTAACTATGCAAATCTTGCTTAACTATACAAGTTTAAATGTTGAACAGGTGTGCAAACATTAGAAGAGATGTCTCCTCTACACCTGCAAATGAATTCACATAAGTCATGTTTCCAAGTTACACCACTGTGCAAGTCAGGAGGAACAATACCAAACCCTGTTAAACAAATGAATTTGGATACACCTGACTACAGCCGGCTCTGGCCCCACTGTTTCCAGGGCAGTGTAGAGATTTTTTTTTTTAAAGCAATCACTGTATAATTTGCAAAAGCATCCTTTAACTCATTACCATATCACTAAAGTACCAAGAATTACCTAGTAACTTTAGTAACAGTCAAATGAAAAGTAGCAAACAGTGCACTGAAAAACTCAGTAGCAGTTCTCCAGTATAAAGTATATAAAGTTCCTCTATTTATGGATAGGTAACTTTTGCACAACTGCTCCCATTGTTGCCTTTTTCCCTGTTTTCAAAAAAAAAAATTTATAAAGCCAGGTTTCACTTGACTGACTCATCACTGATGGGGCACAGGCTGTCAGTAATAGAGGCAGAGCAATTACTTCCTTGAGACATGTATGTGTGCTGGCAATATGCAGCTGAACACAGTCTGCACTTCTCCAGTCAGCCATCTAAAGCACTTCCACCCCTTCTTTTTAGTGGCAACTCTCAGATGAACTTCCCCTTCAGGATAACTGTGATTAAGTGAACAAGACCCCCTTGAGATACATGGGGTCCCATGTACAACAAGCTGTCCTTTCCTAGACAGCATTCACACAAACCTACTCGTGCCACAGCTCACATACTTGAAATAAGAGCTGAAGAATGAGTATCCCTTGATGTCAGTGCTTTTAACACATATCAATTTGCAGGAACAGTTACTAAGAAATCCAGGTACAGACACCTGAATCACAGCAAAAGGGCTGGGTAATTAAACTGAATGTTAGAGACTTGAATTTTTCTCTCACCAAACAGCCTTTGTGTCCATCAACACATACAAAAGGTCAGATGCCCAGTAACAGAGAAGGAAAAGAAAAAACCCAGAAAACCCAAGATGATCTGCTCAACTGCAGAGCTCAAATACTGCCTTCAGTGGAACGGTGTTTGCATGCTAAGGTCCTGCCAGGCACACGACACTTAACAGCGAGACTGACATCCGCACCTGAGGTTCTGCTAAAGCTCTCAAGTACAGAGGTAGTGTGACAAGCTACCTCCAGGCAGTCACCATTGCAGCAGGAGGCACAGCAGCTAGCTTTATGCATTTCAAGAGATATTAACAGAAAAAACAACATTCAGTTATTATGCTGAGTACAGAGAACGCCCATTTATAGGAACATCTCATCAACAAGCTGCTGCCATGTAGAATACTGAGGAGGTTGTTCTAAACTCAAGTGTCACAAACAAGGTTCTCAGCAGTTGCATGCAGATGACAGTGAAAGGTCAGCTACCTCCTTGCACACAGGGAAGATGGTGTACTTTCTTGAAACTTGCTAAAGAGACAAAAATTAACTGCTTACAAGTTCCCAAAAAATGCTTCATGAGGGCTTAAAAGAAGCAATTTACTTATATGCCTAAGAAATCATTATTGGTTGACTGAAAAATTAGGTCCTAAATATCCATTTCTGGTTTTGTAACAGGGAGCATGAACAAATGCAGCCCCAAATTGAATTGAAGGGCCTTGCTCCATCAGATGAATCCTTGAGACTACAGTCCTTACAGAGGAAGACTCCAGCCAAGAAGGATTTCACTGCTCTGTTTATGGCTGCACCCTTCTGTCAGCCAAGGAAAGGGTATGTGGTGGTTAAATATCCGAGACAGTCCCTGGGCTCCAGGCAGAAGAGAGGGGCATGAAAGGCATAGGACTTGTTCTTGCATAGTAAACAGTGCAACTTGAATACTGCAAGACATTATTGCTTAAAGCTTGCCAAGCTTAAAGAGCAAGACAAAAGAACAAGAGTTGCCACATATCTGTCACCTAGCTCTGAAACAACCACTGTCCAAACACCTGTTTTGTTTCCATCTTCCCCTGTGCTCTGCTACAGTTATCAATAATACTAAAGATATTTATCTTTAAAGACAAGTTCATCTATTGTCAAAAGAGGAAATGGTTTAAGGAACATTCTTCTGCTTAGCTACTGAAATATTAAACCCTGAAAGATTTCCCAACAAAGCTGCAGCAAAACTGTAGAAGATGAATCTGTTGTCTGAAATTATCCACACAGACAATGAAACTGATTGAGAATATTCAAATGCATTAGAATTAATCAATTTTAACTTTGACTGA